AAGCTATCTGGTAACTGGTGATTGACTCAGACAAGCTATCTGGTTACTGGTGATTGATTCAGAAAAGCTATCTGGTAACTGGTGATTGACTTAGACAAGCTATCTGGTTACTGGTTGATTGACTCAGACAAGCTATCTGGTTACTGGTGATTGACTCAGACAAGATGTCTATCAGTTAACGTTCCATGTATTTCAATACAGTGTAATTATTACATAGTTTTAATACACAGTAACACAAACAAATATCACTGAAGAAAAACACTTTTATTACTGTGTGATAAAATGAGAAATGAATATCATGTTTAAAAAAATAATAAAAACTAGTTATTTGTAACATATTGCTTTTTCTTTTGGAGTTTAATGTTTAAACAGTCTTTATTTGACTTACAGCTGGCATATCTGTTGCATAGTGGTATTTCTTTTTTGTTTTCTTGAAAGCTTTAATAGTTCAATGTACCAGCACAGTTTATATATTATATAGAATTGTCATTGTGGCCTACCCCCTGTCTTTATTTTAATTCTAAAAGTTGTAGTACATGTGTCTTCAAACAGATAGGCTTCCAAATTCACAAGTTCAGGTAGATTTAATGAATATGGCAAGATATATGGTTTAGGAACTGATCCCTGAGGTAACCCTGGAAGTTATGTCGGTCCAGATTTTTCATTCCTTATTAATACCTTCTGAAATCAATGATTTAGAAATTCAATGCTCATGTTCTTCATCTTTTCTACAGAATTTCATATAATGCCCTCTTTCTACATGTTATTATCCTGCATGTGGAACTTATTTAACTGGGTATTCACCATTGTCTTAGTATTCTATACCTAACTGGGTATTCACCATTGTCTAAGTATACTTANTACTGAGTATTCACCTTTATCTTAGTATTCTATATCTTACTGGGTATTCACCATTGTCTTAGTATTCTATATCTTACTGGGTATTCACCTTTATCTTAGTATTCTATATCTTACTGGGTATTCACCATTGTCTAAGTATTCTCTATCTAACTGGGTATTCACTATTATCAGAATATTCTACATATGTTGCCTCATTTCAATTGTGTAGTACTGTTAACTATAAAGTTGTGGATCTTACAGATGTTGATAAAGCTGTTTACTGATCATAAGTGCTTCTTCTGTAGTATATGCTTCCTGAGGGTATGTTCCATACTACATGTACTGTTATAGAAACGTTATGTTTATTATAATAGATACCTGGCTCATACTTTTTACTATCTTGTATGTTGAATATTTATTTGGGCTCCTAAATTATTCCATAGGGACTACTGTTACACATTGCGCTGGTTGTTGACTTCATAAGCAACTTTTTAATAACTACATGTAATACATAGTAAAAAGATGCAAATTCCTGAATCAAAGTATGAAACAGACTTATTGCATGACCATAAAATAGCATTTGTTATCATTTCTACAAAAAAAAATGCAATAAGTATAGGTTGATTTATTACTAGACATGGGCTTATTGCCAGAAAGATACAGTACTTTTACAAAGAGAATATAAACTCTAATGTTGCCCTGTCCTATGCATGCCAAACGCAACAAGTTTGAAGTATGGCACACACAAGAAGTAGGTAGTTTGACCTACTTTTTCTGTGCACTAAATTTGATTTATTATTTTTTGCAGAGGTGATGAAGGAGGCCATACAGGCTATGAACTTGGCTATGGACATGGAGGCACAGGGCAAACATGAAAAAGCCACGCGACTATACGAACATGCACTGAAGCTTGACCCCTCCCACGCAGATATCCTCACCACTTATGGAGAATTTCTGGAGAAACACCAGAAAAACATAGTGAAGGCTGAACACATGTACAGAATGGCTCTAGAAATATGCCCAGAACATAACAAAGCTCTTGCAAACAGAGAGAGAATTCTTCCTCTTGTTGAAGAAATTGACCTTGCCAATTTTAAAAGAATTGATAAAAAATTAGATGCTTTTATTCGAGTGCCTCTAAACCATCCTGGTTTAAGGAGAGCAAAAAAAGAAGCCTATTTTTCCCATATTTATCACACTAACGCTATAGAAGGAAATACTCTGACTCTGTTACAAACACGGGCCATTGTTGAGACTCGACTAGCAGTGGGAGGAAAGTCCCTGGTGGAACAGAATGAAGTTTTAGGATTGGATGCGGCCCTGAAGTACATAAACAACACATTGTGTGGCCGTCTTGGTGAGATTACATTAGATGATATACTCCAAATTCACAACAGAGTTTTAGGATTCGTTGATCCGACAGAGTCAGGAAGGATACGTCTGACTCAGGTGTTTGTTGGCAATTTCCAACCCCCAGCCCCAGCAGAAGTCCCAAAACTGATGAATGAATTTGTTATCTGGTTAAATTCTGAGGAGGCAGTGAAATTACATCCTATAGAACAGGCAGCATTAGCACATTTTAAGCTGGTTGTTATACATCCTTTTTACGATGGAAATGGACGGACTTCCCGCCTCCTCATGAATCTTATACTTATGCAGGCTGGCTATCCCCCAGTCTCAATTAAAGTGGAAGACAGATTAAAGTATTATGAAACTTTAGAAAAAGGCAATGATGGTGATGTGAGGCCTTTTATTAGGTTTGTTGCAGATTGTACAGAACGGACGTTGGATGAATATATTTTAGCGACAAGTGAAAATCCCAGTGCTTTAGGATTAAATACATCTGAAAATGTGATACCTTTTAGTGATATATGATAACATGCTTATTTATATATATTGTTATTTATTTATTTATTTGCTTTTTTTGTTGGATTTTACATGCCAGGAAGTCAATAAAGAAAATATTTTTAATATAAAGCATATCCTTGTTACCTGAATTTTAAGTCTAAGAAAAAAATAGTTTTAAAGGGCATTCATATTGTCATTGATATTTCAGACCGGTATATAAAACCATTTAATGCATTTTTAGGTCACCTGAGCTTTAACTCGGGTGACCTATTGTTATCTGTCTTTGTCCGGCGTCGTGCATCGTCCGTTAACATTTTACATTTTCAACTTAAGCTGAAATACTGTCGAAGAGATTTCATTGATACTTCATTGGAATGTTACTGACATCTCCCTGACCAAGTCAGTGTTGTTATTTTTCGGGTTGATCAGAAATCCAATATGGCCGCCACGACCGCCATTTTGAAAAACTATTTCAAACTTAAAGTCAAGTTCTACTGGGCCGATTTAACTGAACTTCGATAGGAAGGATAAACTCATGGTCGTAACAAAGTGTTGTTATTTTTCGGGTCGATCAAATATCCATTATGGCCGCCACGGAATACTGCAAACACTTTCATATTGCAACATAGTGATCAATTGGAAATCAAGGAGAAATGATGAAAGATTTTTTTTTTATGTAGGTTTTATATGTAGACATAGATTTAATATATATAAGTCTTACCATAATGTGCTGAAAATTACTCAACAAAGTTACTTTATTATTTATATTCAAACATTAAAGAATTTATCTGTATAAAAAAGAGTTTAGCTCGTAAGCATATAATTTAAGTGAAACTGTTATTAAACCATAGTGTAAAAGTTTGGAAAGTACTACCAGTACTGTTTCTTTAATAACATATTGTGTAAATTTTTCAGCAATATTGCCCAACTGTAAATGTATTTCAAAATATTTAAAGGAGATACTGAATAATAATGGTCTTATTCTCCTTTAACGTTTTTAGGGGTCTCTGTGTGAATCATTGCTTTTTTCATATTTTGCCCTTTTTTATCGATTTTGAGTCCAAATTATGGTTTTGTTGTCGCTTCAGTATTCTCTTCATGTCGAGCAGAGGGTTCCCTGGGAAATAACTTGAAATTCGGCATAATTGCCATCCTAACCAAACACAATAAGATTGAGATCCTCACTGTGTTACCATCAAAATTAGTCTCCTTGCTTGCTAGGCATAAATAAACGAACACAATCATGCGACCAGGAGTAGCTCTTGAGGTTGGCTTCGCCCCCTGCGGAATCAGTCCAATTGCTATAACATGGAAACGATTGAGATCCCTTCCCTATAGCACGTATTGGGAATAACGTAACTGTAATGTGTGTTAGCATTAATGTTAAAATGTGCATTTCAGCCCATATATTAAAGTTATAACAACAAGGATATTTTTTCATCTTTTTGGATGTTTTTTTTTTTGGTTCAAAATATTAACGAATAGTATAATGGAGGGAAAGACCCGGACAGGTTCTGATTGGGGAACATTCCCACGTCCTTTTTGTGATGCTTTCACTACAATATTTTGAGATGAAATGTTTATTTAGAAGCCGTGCAACGGAAATGTAAATATATACTTGGGTTGTCAAACCAGACGAATTTTAGTAACTGGTTACTCAACATATCTCCCGACCAAGTAACCGGTTAATCGGTCAGATTGGTGAGCCCAGTACACAACAACAAATCTACAGTATTTTAAACAATCTGAATTAAAAAGTGTTTTCAATTAATATACATTAATTAGCATGATTGTTTACTCATGTTTTTTAAGCTCTCAATACCTAAACGCCGGAAATACATACATGTAACATCAGTTAGTTTATGGACCAATTTGCTCACTACCTGACAACGTTTGCATTCCACAACTTTGAATTCTGGATGAAAAGTAATTTATCATAAAGCATCTTTGGACCAATGAATCAATTTTTATGTATAGGAAAATTGTAAAACTTCCCCGGAAACTGAGTCTTAGAGAGGAATCCTCCTGAACAATTGATCATAATTCAACAGAATTTGCTATGAAGCGTTCTTTTGACTAGAGAATTAAATGTAGAACATAAGGGTTTTGTTCCTCTGGATGCTGAGCCCATTATAATATTTTGCGATGATTCCTTAAATATCCTTGAGAGCGATACATATCTGGATATCTCGTTTTCAAAGCATACCACTGTTTTAAGATCAAGGAACAGGTTATCAAGGTATTTGAAAAGACAGATGAAAAGAACGTGCCTGAAGCTAATCATGGTTTAGGTATATAGCAGCTGTTTATAAGTTTGTCTTGGTACTCGCCTGTCATATTTTGGTTCTGAAGACAAATTTCATAAACTGGAAATATTTTAAGTATATTTCAAATGTACATGTATATATTTTAGTATAGGGACAACAAGCATGTTTGAAGAACTGACAAGTACATGTTTAACATTTCAGCATGTTAAAAACCAGAAAATAAGAAAATAGAAATAAAACCCCAGTTTTGACATATTGATTGTTACATATTAATCATGCAGATCTTTTTGGGGAATTTCGTATTCCAGTCATTTATTTTCAATAAGTTGAAATAATAATATCAACACTGAAATTGTTATATTTTTTTTTATTTTCTCTATAGAACAGATGGAGCCGTACATAGTCTCATTAGCGTCCACCATTGGAAGCACCAAATGTTATTTGGTTTCACTTTCATATATCTCAATGTTTTGAAATGCATCTCAATTTCCATAGAAAATATGACTGGTTCTACCTGTCTTACAATATTATAGCTCTTCAGAGAGATTTTAATGCAAGTATGATTTATCACACAAATGCACCTAAACATTTCTAATTCAAGTGCTGCCGTGGTCAAATGATGTTAATTTGCATTATTATTTACACGGACGTCTTGTAAGCTCCATAGGATATTCATTACAACAATATTATTCTCAACAATAATTGATACACTTACACCAACAGATAAAACGTCAATCACCAGCAAAATTCAACAGACAATGTATTACTGCGTTTTTTAGGACGTTATATTAAATATTAGTTTTACAGTTCCCATTGGACGGAACAATTCTCAGTGTTCCAGGAAACAAATAAATGTAATTTAATTTTTCTGGAATACCATATGCATATAACTACTACATCATATTCGCGAAAACAGCGAATGCTGCTACGGTTATTCAATAACATAAAATATTCACTGTAGTCTGTATAACGACATTGCCGGTTCCTTCAGAGTTCAGAACCTCGCGAGACCAAGAGCAAAGCAACTGCCAGAACTAAGGTAAACTTGGACGTGTTGTTTTAATTTGATATTGGGCATGGGTGAATAGTTCGTTAACTAGTCTGTCTGTCTAATGTCATTGTGTTCAGACGAGTTGAGTAGCGCGTTAAACAATATGTATGCAGTTAGACGTCAATGCCAACAGAGGAAGAGTTGAGTAGCTCGTTAAACAATATGTATGCAGTTAGACGTCAATATCAATAGAGGAAGAGTTGAGTAGCTCGTTGACGAGTCTATGAGTAGAACAGTTGATCATCCCATTGTAACATTTTACTCCAAACAGTGATTTGGACGAGCTGAAATATAGAGAAAATTATGTCAGTGGTATTTACTTGAAATGGCAAAGTGAACATCATTTAATAACGAATATACCAAACGTCAGACAACAATTCAATGTGAATGGAATAGTAAAATATACTCAAGTGTCTCTGTAATCGTATTTCTAAAACATCGTGTCCCTATTTAACACTAGGCATTCGATACTTTACTTGCCAACAATAAAAAGAACACAAATTAATAATTACACCAACGTATGCATGACATACCTATCAAGGTCTGATGGAACAACAGCAATTGCTCGTCTTACTCTGCAAAACAAAACGAAAATCAAAGCAACGTGAAGTAAGGAAGCATTTAAAATAATCTAGCATGTCGATACAAACTAGAAATTAGACACAAGAAAGAAATGCAACAAAAGGGTTATACGATTTAAAACTCCCTTCTAATGTTAAAAGTTTTTGTAATGAGAAATTTGCTTTTTTAAAATAATAGTATCTGCTGTAAACCATGGCTAAAAATCCATTTAGAAAGTAACGTTCGATCTAATGGACTGATTGTCGAACAATAAAGACAGCCACCAAGTGACGTAAAATATTATTAGAAACAAGAAGCAAGGAAACATCCTTTTAAAGACAAATCTAGTTGTTGACCTAATCGATACTCCAGGTGTTACCCTAATCGATACTCCAGGTGTTACCCTAATCGATACTCCTTGTGGTACCCTAATCGATACTCCAGGTGTTACCCTAATCGATACTCCAGGTGTTACCTTAATCGATACTCCAGGTGTTACCCTAATCGATACTCCAGGTGTTACCCTAATCGATACTCCAGGGCCCGTATTCATGAAACCGTTCTCATGCTCAAGCATGGATTTTGTGCTCAAACCAACATTCTTGTAACTCACTTCAATCTTGTCAAACGATCAAAACATCAAATGAAATAAATGAAAACAGTACACGACTTTAAGTCTTTTATAAGTTTTTCCAAATCATTTAAAAAATATAAGTGTATTATCAAGTTATAACCGGAACAAGAAATTAGGCTTGAGCACAAATTTTATACTTGAGCATAAGAACGGTTTCATGAATACGGGACCAGGTGTTACGCTCCTATACGCTGTTTGCACCCCTGGAATATGTCATGCCCAAAAGAAAGCTATTTGGTAAGTCTCAGCGACACCTTACTTCAAAGCCTGTCAATTTTACCGTTACGCTATCGCGCGATTTTTTGTATGTACATCAAAGGCCCAACTTGTATCATCCACAAGGTGGCGCGTGCACAGAACCTTCGATTTTTCCATGACATATCCCAGGGTGCAGAGAGCTTAAAAGAGCGTAACCCTTGAAGTATCGGCGGTGGTTGTTGGCTGAAAGCCAAGGCAAGTTTACTGCTTTGTTCGTCCAGTTTGCACGACCTATCAGTGACACATTGTACTAAAGATCAAAATAATGGATACGGTGGTGTTATGCTTACCCTTTTTTGATGTTCTGAACTTCAATCTCGAACTTGGGAAGTTTTGGTATGATGTCGATGATACATTGTCTTGACCACCATAAGTCACCGTCTTGCATCAACACGAATACTTTATATGGACGATCTGAATATGAAAGGACAAATTAACAACACAAAATCTTATTTAAAAAAAAAAGTATCGGAATTATTTTTCCATTGCGTATAAGTTAATGCAATTATTCTATTATACCTTATTTTAAGTTTCTTGGGCCTTATTTGATTAATACACGTTACGTTTTATGCTACAAATCTACTGTCATACCGAAGCAATTCAGCTCCCTTACAAGTGTTACTATTAGAAAACCTAATACTACCATCGCACGACATCAAAATTATGGATATTTTCGCGTTTATCTGTTGAACGAAAAAAACACACCAAAAACCGAGAATTTCCACACCGCAGACATGTCCTCTTGGTCAAACTAACACGTGTTTACTTTAAGAACAGACTTTCTTTTAGAAGAAGCGTAAAGCATTGCAAACAGAGTTGAGGTTCTTGCACCTGATGCTCATTTCTAAAGGTGTTCCGTTCAAATAAGGCATGATCGCATAATGTAATGCACAATTTGTATTTCAATATATTGTCAAAGTATATGAATATAACAAGGTTTGAATTAAGGCATGATCGTTATACAACGAGGAACACGAAAAATTGCATTACCGTCAGCACCATTCATCTTTCCGCTATGAAACTATAGACTATGTGAGGATTAAACATGGTCATTATACTGGACAAATGTTCATGCCAGTTTCTCCGTCTCGTTCTATTTTTAATTTATGTACTGTTGGACCAGGCAATCACACGGGGAAACAACTGAACTCAGCCTGTCGGCTTACCTGCATCAATGTCTTCGCAAGTGAACCTCACAGTAACTGGCTTAACAAACGTCTCTGTCGATAAGAAATGGATTGTCGGCAAGAAGTCGGTTGGTTCCAGCTATCGTCAAAGAGTATACAATTTCAGTAATATTCGACGGTTGATTGATTGAATGAATTTAAAATAGATTGATGATTAGATTTTAATGTGCCACGAAAAGGACACTAGTCTAACTGATTAGTTGTGATTTTGAAATATGAAAACGTCGTCACTGTTTCTAATACTTAAGACATGATGAACACATGTTAGTGTACTGTTATAGAGTTAAAATATTAAGATAATTTTGTCAATGTTATTGTCTAAGCAAAACACCGTTTAGGCAAAAGCGATCCGCTGCGGAGCTATACATTTAGTAGAACTCACAATTAGGAAAACACTGGCCCTGTCTTGTATAGAGCCAGCGTCAATGCTGATACTGAGCTGTGAGTGGACGACAGTGTGGAGGGTGTGGCTACTCCTGTCTATTGTCCACGACTCCCAATGTCCCCTCAGCCTGCCTGGTAGATATGGCCACTGGTCGCAAGCTACACCTACTACGTGTGTAGGACAGGAAGTCAGATCGCAGCATATACACGGATGATTCTATGATAACAAGATATCATAACATCATTAACAATACTTGTAGTAATGATTTGGCAAAGCTCTCTCTATATATAATATGAAATCAGCAGGAAAATAACCACATATTAGAAGTCTACCGAATCCCAAAAAATAATATTGATTTAAACATAGGCAAATTTCTGATGAGATAGATTCTTCTACAAAAGATGACGAATGTACAGTAAAGTAATGCCAATCTCTTCCCTATTTTCTATTTTGTGATCTGATATTTACTAAAAAGGGGGAAAAAAAATTCAATATCAATAAGGCGCATTCAAACAGTTATAGAACAATTGTCGATGCAATCCCTGTGCTCATTATTACCTAATACAAAGTAACTAACCTCCATTGTTTTCCGCCATGCTGCTGTCATTTGCCAGGAGGTACCGCCATCATAGCTAGAGGCTATGAACAAAGGAAGATCACTCTCCCCATACTGTTGTTCCGATTTGATGGCAACAGCTACCGACACCGCGCCCTGTGTGTGACGTAGGCAAAATGTATACACACATGTTAATCATACATCGAAGTAAATAAAGATTAAGTATTCGATTAAAAATGTTGTCAAACGGTACCGCAATGGTTCGAGCGTCAAAAATGAAACAAAATATTTTTATTACTGCTTCAAAAGTCATGAAAGTTATGGAAGGCAACGCTTCAGCGTCATTTTGTGGCCATGACATCGCATTTAGCTTTATTACTCAAAATTATGCCAAACAATAGCAACTGACCTCAATCCAATTTGACCACATATATGTCAAAATTATCGGTTAGCCTAACAGCTTATGTAGTTTCCCCAATACAAGGTGATTACCCCACGTACCACTTGTGTATTTGTCGAGGCCTGAGTTAAAACTATGACCCCACTACACGGGTGGGAAGCCTGACCACACGGGTAGATATGGTTCGACTTTGACGTCATGACACTCATACTGGCACCAAACACCCTGTCACCCTGTTCCAGTGACACACACGACAGCTTAAACACGAGTTGTCCGAACCTGTCCTCATAACTGAAACCAAAACATTTGCATATTATTATTAGCTAACATGTCAGATTTAAGAGTGATTTTATTTTCACTAATGTTGAAAACATAGTAAAAGGTGTTCTGGTAAATTGCACATTGATATATATAGACATCATCAAGGTCAAAAGCGGACAAAAATTTAGAACAGACGATTTTTAGATCAAAAAGATAACTGGCCATAAATTGTGACCTCTTCATGGTTGAAAGAAACACTAATGGAAGGATGCCCAACGTAATGTTTCTGTGGGACAAAACGGAAAACCTTGTATTTGTATTGATTTTATTTTTAAATGAATAGAAACTAATAGAAATAAAGTCTAGGGTCAGCTCATTATGAAATGAAGTATTTTTTTGTAAAGAGCAAGAGGCCCATTTCAACGCGAACTTGCGCATTTGTGGCATTCTAGTGACCTAAGCATACAAATGAATATATGATTTGAAAACTAAGCACCTTTCTTTTGAAACGAATAGTCCCTTTGGGGCCCCACCCTAGCCCCTCTGGATGGGGCAGGAATTCCAGATATATATATATATTCCAAATACCCTCATCCACCAAAGATAATTCTTTGTTTGAATTTTGAATAATTTTGAATAAATTTAACTTTGAAACAAGTTTGAATAATTTCCTACAGAAAATTGTCAAAATATACCCAAAAGTGTTATTTCCCTATATAAACTATAGTAAATTTTACCCTCTCCCCAAGAGGGAACGGATGACTCAGGGGTCCTGGAATTGACAATTTCAATAAAGCTTGACCTGATGATCTTTCTATCCATGCAGAGAAAATAACTGTAGTACCTCTGAGACTGGAGAAGAAGATTTTTGAAATATTGGTAGATTTTCCCTTTGGGGCCCCGCCCTGGCCCCTAAGGTTGGGGTAGGAATCCCAATTTTACAATTTAAAACTATCTCCTCCAAGGATAATTCTCACCAAGTAAGAATAATTTCCTACAGAAAATTGTCAAAATATACCCAGAAGTGTTGTTTCCCTATATAAACTATAGTAAACTTTACCCCCTCCCCAAAGGAGAACGGATAGCTCGGGGGTCCTGAAATTTGCAATGTAAATAAAGCTCCTGATGATCTTTCCATCCATGCAGACCAAAATGACTGTAGTACCTCTGAGTCTGGTTAGGAATCCCAATTTTACAATTTTGTAGCCTCATCTACCAAGGGTGATTCTGACCAAGTTTGAAAAGAGTCCATCCACTGGTTCTTGAGAAGAAGTTTTTATTTTTCCCTAACCACTGGTTAAAGCTGATCAACCGAGCAACCGGGGCCAGATTTGTCGAACGGGTATACGCTATATATACGCTACACATATAAACAAGACGTGATGACGTAAATGCATCACTGCTGTGTATTATTAACTACGATTTCCTAGAAGACATCACCATGGTGCTGGTAGGGTTTGGCTTTAACTATTAAGAAAACATAAATTGTAAACACATCTAAAGGGGGTATTTCAGGTGTTAACTACTTACACAAATTCTCTAGAAGTTCGGGTGTCGGACCGGAAGCACTCGAGTTCCACTATATCCGGCTGATTGTTATACCACCGATTGATATGCGCCAATTGCTGAAACTCCACTCGGACTTCTTCGTTCTCGCTGACCAACATCCAGTCAGTCACTGACGCCAACATGAAGTCCAGCTTACAAAATTACACCAAAAACGTTTTTAGCGGTATACAACATCTACATATCAAATATATATATATTTGTATTATATAATACCCATCCGCAACATATTTGTGATCATATTGAAATTTGTTTAGTTCACGTTTAAAATGTCGAAAAGAATTATCAAACTAATCTTGTAACAATGCTGTGTCAAAGCAGTCAGAATATAGTGTTAAGACGTTCTCTTTGCAATCATGTTTGAGTGGAGATATATTCGTATGCCTTTAGATTCACGTAAACAAATGTACTTCCTGCTATACTCCTTTACTCGAAACATTGTTATCATTAGAACTTAAGTCAAAGCAACTATGTTTTTAATATATTACCCAGTCGCTTTAAAATATATCACTTAAAAATTTAGAACAATAAATGTATTTAGATAAGACATGATGGAAAATAGCAAAGTAATCAAACCGAAACGTAAAGTAAGCTTAGCGGTCCTTCAGTGTAGGATTTACCAACAATGTGAAATTCCGCAATATGATGGAAAATAATATATATTTAAAGTATGCCGTGCATTGCTCACAGTCAAATTGATTGCAAAGATTTTTAATAAAAGTACGTTTTTTGGTCAGAACAAATAATACATTACTAATTAAATATTAATGAAGACAACACAACGACTTCCACGCCTATAACACAGTCTATAATTTACTCTATGGAAAGAATATTTCTTTATATTTCACAATTATATTCATAATTTGCAATGCCTAGACATACCAACCTCTTCAAGTAATGATTCTACCTTGGCTTCAGCTAGTAAATAGATGAAAATAGGATCAACATTATTACTGACCGTAAGAGGTATCAACACAAGACTCATCATTCAAGTGTGTACCACAACATTGCATCGCAACTTCGTTAGAAATGACGTATATAGCTGCATCACTGCTGTGGCTTTGAATATTATAATATAATACACAAGCTTAATTCCGCGCTATACTAATGAATAGTTTTTGTCAATTATCTTTTTTCATTAAAAAATGTTTCAACTATGAACAATAATTTCTAGCATGGAGAGAAAATGATAAAAAGAAATATAAAAATCGCTGCTATTATCAACTTTAAACAATATATTCTAAACGATGAACGACTTGTTTAACATATATGTTTTTAAACAAACATAGGAATGCTGAATGATCATATTTTTATGAGAAAAACCATAAGACGTCTTGTGACGAACAAATTTCACCATGTCGTCAGCTAAGTGTCATAAAAAGTACGTTCTAGATAGCTCAAAATACTTTATACTGCGAGCAGAATCATATTTCCCTTCTTTCTAAAGGCATTTTTTTTCTGGACTCAATGCATAATAAGGTTACGCCTTACAATGCGGGTATGGTGTGCATACGTTGTATATTCTACAATATATATATATATATAGATATAGAAATGACATAGTTGTGGCAACATGGTGTCAGGATTTTAAGTCTTTGTATAAAAAGGATTGCTGACTGTAAGCAGTAAGATCAAGATATTTCGGGATGTCATATAGAACATTTGTACTTACTTAGGCCTTCAAACGATAGTTTCCTTTTCTTTCGAACTGTTTCTGTCTTCCCGAGTACTTTGCTTGCAACAGAGGACATTTTCCACCAGAAATGTTCATTTATTTCTGCATCAAACTGATATTCACCTTTTACGGCAGATTTTATTCGAGCTTCGCTAAACACAAAATTTAGGCCGGCCAGAAAAAAGTTGATAGTGAGGATTGTAGCAATAGTAATATACAACCCAAGAACAATGGTTATACCGACCGTTTCTTTCACTAAAATCTCTCTAAAATGTATCATCCCTATCATGATGCGGAATAGATAAAGAAATGTGGTTTTGAAGTCCTTAAAGCCCGGTTCAGAGTAGCCGAACATCAGGTAGATCATACAGGAAAAGGCAGTTATAAACAAGACAGCAATAGATAAAAACTGCACAGCTTCCGCTCGGAACATGCAAATAGTTGTCTTCATCAAGTGTAAATAGTAATTAAACGACAAAGGGTTCAACAGATTCAGGATGGCAATGAAACAAACGCTGCCGATAAACGTTCTATATAAGATATCCAACATCTCCACCATCTCAAAGGACACGAAAAACCCTGAAAATAAAACAGGTAAAATTAAGCATTGCTGTTCAAGCCATTCTCTGAAAATCTAAAGAATGGAGTTAAGTCGTTTATGGTTTTATCGAAGGAAAGAAATCGATAGGTTTTGTTACAAACCAAATTAGCACCAGTGGCTCAAGCACATGCAAGATATTTATAAAACACTCTGACGCCATCAATATGCGTTACCGATTAAGCAAAATATATCACTTACACTTCTAATGAACGAATCATTGCCGACATCTCAACATTTAATTTTGATCTTTGGAACCAAAAGCGTTGCTTAAATAAGCAAACTAAAGATATATAGAGGATACTTAATGGTTTCCTATAGAATACCATATAATTTATATTTTACGAGTAGAATATCAATTTTTTATATTTTCACCAGTGAAATATTGAAAATTAATAATTCTATAAAAGTGATATTTTGCACTTGTGACCAATCAAAACACTGATTACAAACTACCACGGAAAAACATTACAAGTGGCCCATCTTGTAAAAGCCTGGTAAGCTTAACGTGCTGCGAACTCGTGAAAGATAACAAATATTAGCCACACTCGTGAAATGTATTTGGTACTACTGAAGACACTGGTAGATATATTCTGCAGCTCCAGGGAAATATATTTGGCATTCAACGAGATAACCATGACATTTCCATTCATTACTAAAAAAAAAATTAAAGTAACAAGACACAAATAATTCTCTATAAAAAAAGATCGGGAATAAGTAGCGTATTATTTGCCGCCTAGTTATAATGATGTCACGCTTTAAAACAAGGCAGAGCGCCGTTTGGAATGAGTCACTCAATACAATTCTGCCGTTTGCTGCTACATTTATAAAATGTTTACATAAGATTTATAATCAAAATTGATTTGAATTATGTATTTATGTAAATATCATACTGTATGTTGTAACGTCGTAACAAAACAAGCATTGCTTATCTACAGTCAATTCATCTATACTTGAAACTGAAAATCTATGCAGTGAATATAATGTACCGTTCTGATTGGACAATTCTAAACATGATATTTTTACATATAACATTTCGTATAACTTCATAAAGGTTTCATAAGTTTGTATTAAATGGATAATTCCGGATATTGTATTGGTGAAAATGAAATAGATTCTTGCGAATCCTGAAGTGTTGACACATATAAAAGTATTGCTGTGAGGTATGATCCGTTAGTGAACTGATCCAACTAGGGTCCTACCTCATACATTTTCACATCATGGTATACTACTAGGGTCGATTTGGTCTCATACAGTGCTATTATTGCATTTACGTTGCAAAATGTTAATTCATTTAAGCAATGAATGTATTAGCAAATGTTGTTATGGTCCTATAACACACAATGCTATTGATAACGAACTTTATAAAGCCCGGCAGAGCCGTATGTTTTGTCAACAATAGAAATGTGTGTTGTAGGACCATAACAATATTTGCTAATTATATTCACTATTTATATTTAAATTTTGATAGAGTAGTTACACTTTATTGAGTTTTTTTGAACAGTTCTTTGAAAATCAAATTAAGTCTTGACATCAATGAGATTGATACCGTTACAATAGCAAATGTTGCAATAGTGTCATAAGAACATTTGTCTTCTCAATGCATTGAAATGGAAGGATGTTTAGCAAATGTAAATATCTAATGATGAACTTGTAGCTACAAAAGTTTTCATCGCAAATTCATAATAGAAAGTTGAAAATACTAGTAGTGAACATGTACCCACCGATATCAGACATAGCAACCATACTATCTATTTTATTAATGTGTACATCATCTACTGTGTACTAGTACTAAATATATACCCACCGATATCAGACATAGCATCCATACTATCTAGTTAATTAATGTGTACAACATCTACTGTGTACTAGTACTAAATATATACCCACCGATATCAGACATAGCATCCATACTATCTAGTTAATTAATGTGTACAACATCTACTGTGTACTAGTACTAAATATATACCCACCGATATCAGACATAGCATCCATACTATCTAGTTAATTAATGTGTACAACATCTACTGTGTACTAGTACTAAATATATACCCACCGATATCAGACATAGCATCCATACTATCTAGTTAATTAATGTGTACAACATCTACTGTGTACTAGTACTAAATATATACCCACCGATATCAGACATAGCATCCATACTATCTAGTTAATTAATGTGTACAACATCTACTGTGTACTAGTACTAAATATATACCCACCGATATCAGACATAGCATCCATACTATCTAGTTAATTAATGTGTACAACATCTACTGTGTACTAGTACTAAATATATACCCACCGATATCAGACATAGCATCCATACTATCTAGTTAATTAATGTGTACAACATCTACTGTGTACTAGTACTAAATATATACCCACCGATATCAGACATAGCATCCATACTATCTAGTTAATTAATGTGTACAACATCTACTGTGTACTAGTACTAAATATATACCCACCGATATCAGACATAGCATCCATACTATCTAGTTAATTAATGTGTACAACATCTACTGTGTACTAGTACTAAATATATACCCACCGATATCAGACATAGCATCCATACTATCTAGTTAATTAATGTGTACAACATCTACTGTGTACTAGTACTAAATATATACCCACCGATATCAGACATAGCATCCATACTATCTAGTTAATTAATGTGTACAACATCTACTGTGTACTAGTACTAAATATATACCCACCGATATCAGACATAGCATCCATACTATCTAGTTAATTAATGTGTACAACATCTACTGTGTACTAGTACTAAATATATACCCACCGATATCAGACATAGCATCCATACTATCTAGTTAATTAATGTGTACAACATCTACTGTGTACTAGTACTAAATATATACCCACCGATATCAGACATAGCATCCATACTATCTAGTTAATTAATGTGTACAACATCTACTGTGTACTAGTACTAAATATATACCCACCGATATCAGACATAGCATCCATACTATCTAGTTAATTAATGTGTACAACATCTACTGTGTACTAGTACTAAATATATACCCACCGATATCAGACATAGCATCCATACTATCTAGTTAATTAATGTGTACAACATCTACTGTGTACTAGTACTAAATATATACCCACCGATATCAGACATAGCATCCATACTATCTAGTTAATTAATGTGTACAACATCTACTGTGTACTAGTACTAAATATATACCCACCGATATCAGACATAGCATCCATACTATCTAGTTAATTAATGTGTACAACATCTACTGTGTACTAGTACTAAATATATACCCACCGATATCAGACATAGCATCCATACTATCTAGTTAATTAATGTGTACAACATCTACTGTGTACTAGTACTAAATATATACCCACCGATATCAGACATAGCATCCATACTATCTAGTTAATTAATGTGTACAACATCTACTGTGTACTAGTACTAAATATATACCCACCGATATCAGACATAGCATCCATACTATCTAGTTAATTAATGTGTACAACATCTACTGTGTACTAGTACTAAATATATACCCACCGATATCAGACATAGCATCCATACTATCTAGTTAATTAATGTGTACAACATCTACTGTGTACTAGTACTAAATATATACCCACCGATATCAGACATAGCATCCATACTATCTAGTTAATTAATGTGTACAACATCTACTGTGTACTAGTACTAAATATATACCCACCGATATCAGACATAGCATCCATACTATCTAGTTAATTAATGTGTACAACATCTACTGTGTACTAGTACTAAATATATACCCACCGATATCAGACATAGCATCCATACTATCTAGTTAATTAATGTGTACAACATCTACTGTGTACTAGTACTAAATATATACCCACCGATATCAGACATAGCATCCATACTATCTAGTTAATTAATGTGTACAACATCTACTGTGTACTAGTACTAAATATATACCCACCGATATCAGACATAGCATCCATACTATCTAGTTAATTAATGTGTACAACATCTACTGTGTACTAGTACTAAATATATACCCACCGATATCAGACATAGCATCCATACTATCTAGTTAATTAATGTGTACAACATCTACTGTGTACTAGTACTAAATATATACCCACCGATATCAGACATATCATCCATACTATCTAGTTAATTAATGTGTACAACATCTACTGTGTACTAGTACTAAATATATACCCACCGATATCAGACATAGCATCCATACTATCTAGTTAATTAATGTGTACAACATCTACTGTGTACTAGTACTAAATATATACCCACCGATATCAGACATAGCATCCATACTATCTAGTTAATTAATGTGTACAACATCTACTGTGTACTAGTACTAAATATATACCCACCGATATCAGACATAGCATCCATACTATCTAGTTAATTAATGTGTACAACATCTACTGTGTACTAGTACTAAATATATACCCACCGATATCAGACATAGCATCCATACTATCTAGTTAATTAATGTGTACAACATCTACTGTGTACTAGTACTAAATATATACCCACCGATATCAGACATAGCATCCATACTATCTAGTTAATTAATGTGTACAACATCTACTGTGTACTAGTACTAAATATATACCCACCGATATCAGACATAGCATCCATACTATCTAGTTAATTAATGTGTACAACATCTACTGTGTACTAGTACTAAATATATACCCACCGATATCAGACATAGCATCCATACTATCTAGTTAATTAATGTGTACAACATCTACTGTGTACTAGTACTAAATATATACCCACCGATATCAGACATAGCATCCATACTATCTAGTTAATTAATGTGTACAACATCTACTGTGTACTAGTACTAAATATATACCCACCGATATCAGACATAGCATCCATACTATCTAGTTAATTAATGTGTACAACATCTACTGTGTACTAGTACTAAATATATACCCACCGATATCAGACATAGCATCCATACTATCTAGTTAATTAATGTGTACAACATCTACTGTGTACTAGTACTAAATATATACCCACCGATATCAGACATAGCATCCATACTATCTAGTTAATTAATGTGTACAACATCTACTGTGTACTAGTACTAAATATATACCCACCGATATCAGACATAGCATCCATACTATCTAGTTAATTAATGTGTACAACATCTACTGTGTACTAGTACTAAATATATACCCACCGATATCAGACATAGCATCCATACTATCTAGTTAATTAATGTGTACAACATCTACTGTGTACTAGTACTAAATATATACCCACCGATATCAGACATAGCATCCATACTATCTAGTTAATTAATGTGTACAACATCTACTGTGTACTAGTACTAAATATATACCCACCGATATCAGACATAGCATCCATACTATCTAGTTAATTAATGTGTACAACATCTACTGTGTACTAGTACTAAATATATACCCACCGATATCAGACATAGCATCCATACTATCTAGTTAATTAATGTGTACAACATCTACTGTGTACTAGTACTAAATATATACCCACCGATATCAGACATAGCATCCATACTATCTAGTTAATTTATGTGTACAACATCTACTGTGTACTAGTACTAAATATATACCCACCGATATCAGACATAGCATCCATACTATCTAGTTAATTAATGTGTACAACATCTACTGTGTACTAGTACTAAATATATACCCACCGATATCAGACATAGCATCCATACTATCTAGTTAATTAATGTGTACAACATCTACTGTGTACTAGTACTAAATATATACCCACCGATATCAGACATAGCATCCATACTATCTAGTTAATTAATGTGTACAACATCTACTGTGTACTAGTACTAAATATATACCCACCGATATCAGACATAGCATCCATACTATCTAGTTAATTAATGTGTACAACATCTACTGTGTACTAGTACTAAATATATACCCACCGATATCAGACATAGCATCCATACTATCTAGTTAATTAATGTGTACAACATCTACTGTGTACTAGTACTAAATATATACCCACCGATATCAGACATAGCATCCATACTATCTAGTTAATTAATGTGTACAACATCTACTGTGTACTAGTACTAAATATATACCCACCGATATCAGACATAGCATCCATACTATCTAGTTAATTAATGTGTACAACATCTACTGTGTACTAGTACTAAATATATACCCACCGATATCAGACATATCATCCATACTATCTAGTTAATTAATGTGTACAACATCTACTGTGTACTAGTACTAAATATATACCCACCGATATCAGACATAGCATCCATACTATCTAGTTAATTAATGTGTACAACATCTACTGTGTACTAGTACTAAATATATACCCACCGATATCAGACATATCATCCATACTATCTAGTTAATTAATGTGTACAACATCTACTGTGTACTAGTACTAAATATATACCCACCGATATCAGACATAGCATCCATACTATCTAGTTAATTAATGTGTACAACATCTACTGTGTACTAGTACTAAATATAAACCCACCGATATCAGACATAGCATCCATACTATCTAGTTAATTAATGTGTACAACATCTACTGTGTACTAGTACTAAATATATACCGACCGATATCAGACATAGCATCCATACTATCTAGTTAATTAGTGTGTACAACATCTACTGTGTACTAGTACTGAATATATACTCACCGATATCATTGAATACCCTCTCTATTGCCTCGATAGTATGGTCAATCCTGAGTATATAGACGGATATAGCTGCCACAGATAAGGTGATCTCCAGGAGTCCAAACCAAGTACTTAAATATGTCAGACAGGAACATTTGGTCTTGATGACGGATCTAATTACTAGGACAATTCTTACACACACTATCACTATAAAAGTTATCTGGAAAATGAGGACCAAATAATCAAGTGAACCAACATATGGGTACAAATTGGAGGTGGTTGAGCGGAATGTCATGAAGACCCCTCCAAAAGGAGGGAACTCGAACACAACCTTGACGTGACTAAAGAGCATAGTGTCTCCGTTAAGAAAAACCACGTCAACAAAAAGTGCACGTGTCTTGTCGTCAATCCAGGTCTGTTGACGTAGGCGGTCAATATTGTTGCGCGCGAGCTCGTGCGAAGGACCTATATCTCTAAGATAACCCCCTCCTTCGTAATCCCCCACCATTCCTACATGGTAAAGGGACTCTGTCTCTGATGCTGTCTTGTACGTGTAGGCGTAGTGATCTTCGTCCGTTTCGTTAAAACACGACGGGTAGTATGTCGCCCAATTAATACAATAACTAGTCCGATCTTCAGTCTCTGACGTCATTTCCGGTACACATTTATTCACCCAGGGTCGCATTGCACTTGGTATATCGCATGAACCTAATAAGAAAAACAAGACAGGAAACATTAATAATAATAATAATAATAAAAATAATAATTCGCGGTTCTTATATGCCGCTTTATCACAACCTAGTTCGTAGGTCGTCTCAAAGCGGTTCACAAATTATTATCCGTGGTTTAAGGGCCTTTGCAACTTCATTCTCAACTTCCTGGAGAGCAAACAGCCGGTGCTGCCATTTCGGCGCTCACAGCTAGCATTCTCTAATTCTAGCACTGCCCAACCACGTACTGATTTACAGCTGAGTAGACTGGAACAAGCGGAGTAAAGTATCTTGCTCAAAGATACAACACAGTGCCGTGCCGTGACTCGACCTCGCAACCCTTCGGTCACGAGCCCGGCGTCCTACCACTAGACTACCGTGCCTCCTAAAATGTTATAGAACATATAAACTGTTGATGCTGTAAACTATTTTATTACTGCACTATCGTATAACGTACTTTGAACACGCGTCTGTCGGAGTCTGACTAGACCGAGGCGGTAAAACTGGTCAGCTGACTGTTGTACATATGACGTCATTATGTCGCCATTATAATATTTAAAAGGAAACAACTGGTCCACAAGTGACGTTTCTAGCCATTTCCAAACCTCCGCCACTGATTTCGGCTGCGAAAATAGAAAGTGAAAGTCAGATTATGCACATACTAGTGAAGCTTAGGTAAAGTACTAAATTATACACATTTGTGACATCATCTATTATTCTCACTGTTACACTGTAGTATAGTGTGCACAGCACCAGAATGTCGTTAATATCTGGCCCGGGAATAATATTCTTATAAACATATACATCAGTTTAACACATGTATGACCGATGGAATATATAGTTTACAAATCTACAGTCCATTCTGAAATAACGATTACGTTGAATAACAAGGTAATGTTCATCAAAGGCAAACTCAAATATCAAATAACAAAGTTTAGGTCCGGCACGTGCGGTGGTTGATCAAAAAATGTAACCATTTACTGGAAACTTTTTTTCTAGGCATGCCTGTAGTTTTTGACAAATTATTTCTGGAAAGAAATTCATATCTTGCGAAATTTAAAGAAAATAATAGTGATAAAATGAACAAAGAATAATTTACAACAGGGCTCTGAGTGTAAACTGCTTTCGGTAATTCGATCATTGTACTTCCAAAGCAAAAAGAAGGGGAGGTAACCGAAGATACGAAAACTTAAGTGGAACTGTCTAGTTTTTTGCCCACAGTGGAACAGGGATAGTTAATACTTTAGTATGAGAAAACTGAAAAAAAAAGAATGTTAACCAAATATATCACTTAACTTTAAAACGATGAAACCAAGAATACAATATGAACAAAGGAAGACTTGTTTTGAGAGAATGGACTGTTCAATGTCACGCCTCGACCAGTCCTTTACCACATGGAAAACATGGGTTTCATTCTACCCGACTATTTTGCTTTGACATTACTATTATTCAGTGTAATAATAGCATCCCATTATTTCTTGAATAACAACCCTCTCTCTGCTACCTGATATGTAGCTCGCTGAAAACAAAGATTCTATGTATCCTTTTGGGTCAACAACTTTAAGGACTATTCAAGCTTTCTTAACAGAAAAATGTAGGTGATTCAAATAAAGAACTTACAGATTGGTCAGAATGAACTTTTTTGCCAAGCGCGACATTTTGGTGGTAAGCTCTCGTCGTGTGGTTGTGAGAGCAAATAACGGCAACAACGAGAATGTAAAGGAGATGTGAGAGCCAGCCGAGGAGGACGCTGTTGAGACGTTTGTCGAGACGACATCTCCGACGTCTCTTGTCTAGGTCAGCCTTCTGTGTGTCCTTAGGCGAAATAACATCGGACGTATCAAGATACCAGTTATCTGTAAGTATAGAGCAATGTGTGATGAATACCTTATTGCGGAACATTATTTTTTTATCTATCCTCTGTTCAACCATTCTCGATTGACACTTAGAAATCAGCTGATGAACCAAAATATAACCCATGACCATTTTAATATAAACACATTATTTCATGGATGTCATGAATGTGATGAAGAAATCAATGCATTTGTACTATAATGTATATCAGAGTACATTATCAACACTAAAAGATTTGTTTATGATTAATCATAACTATACCCTGTACGGTGGGGACATGGAGACACACCGTATGAATTGTTTATATGTTTGTTTGATGATTTCAATGACTGTACATATAACATACCGAAGTTGTAAGGAGAAGGCTTATATAGCCTTTGCCTGATGCCCTATCCCTTTGCATATTTGTGTGCAATAACATTTGTTGAAATGAAATGAATACCTTATAATCTGCACGCCCAAACGTATGATTATTTCCTTACCGTCATCGTTTACTGTTGGTTGTGCGGTTTGTGTGTAAAAAAAGGCTGACCTGAGACTGAGGAAAGATCGGTTTCCTCTATGCCGTATGTTCCATTTATCCACTCAAAGTTTCCTCAATCCTAATGCATTGGACATAGCAGGATATCAATATTTGGGGAACATGTTTTACGCTCACTGGTTTATGTCTCTACACGCCTTTATCCACACAAAAATAACAAAAAATAAATGTAGAGGAAAATATGCCCAAATTATGCCCGAAGATTGGTTATAATGTTTATTTACCTAGAACATTCATGATTAATTATGAGGAAAATAAGAACTATCTTTCGGAAGAATAAGTTTTTCCACTTTATCGACAACACGCGCTATGTAAATATTGTTATATTCAAGTAATGCCATATTCTCAAAGGCAGACCAGGGGTAGCGACAACAAAACAACAAATCACACTATTGAGAAAAATATACAATTTCGTCACATCGTTGTTCAGGTAAAAAATACAAATCTCTCGCTCAGTCAGTCATAGCTTGACAAAGGGACCAAAGCTTAAGGGTATTGAAACGTTGCGACACGTTTAATACGTACATTGTTTGTGTAGAAAGTAAAACTTTGATATCACATATTTCCAAACTGATGAATCTTATTGAACACACTAATAAGAACAATAAAAAACTGCAGTATTCCTATCGCACTAAGAAAATAGAAAAAATCCAAATGAGATAGTTATGGCGACCATAAAACTTTGATTATAAGTTATATTTTATGTTTAAGGAAAGGAGGTGTCTCTGTTATTTTCCATGTAAAAGCCTCCGTGATTGTTTAGGCTAAGGTAGCATTTGCTACTTCGTCTAGACAATAGCTCCATTGAGTGATCAATATGCTTTCTGAGGACGGCTTTATGTATTGCTTCCACGCGTTAAGAGTGATGTAAATACAGTGAAAGATCATATCAGACCTACCGTAGGTGACCCGGATGTTATCGGAGGATGGTATTTCTGTCATAGTTCTCTGGGCCGCACCTGTACACAGCATCGTCATAACAATAGCCATACATGCCGCCTAGGATAGAAATAACATCAGAGATTGGGGACACAATAGATATAAAATATAGAGCGAACTCGTTTTCGATCAAGGTATCTTAGACGAAGTTTTAATGTGATAATAAACAATTCATACATCTTTTCATGAAACATCACGGCTATTTAGCTGTGACAGTCCATTTTATATCACCAGCTTGCAAAAAATAAGTCAAGGATATTGATTGGTCAGCATGTTTAAAAAAAGGAACCGAGAAAAAGCTGCGTTTTTTGAAGTAAATTCAACCAAAATTTTGGGACAAAAAAATATAATTGAAGTTTATAACAGTTTGTTTTACTTGTTTCCCCTTCTTTAAATATATCCCTGCAAACGAGGTATTGAATCCCATTCCATTTCCATTTTTTTATACAAACAAAAGCTTTACATTTGCATCAAAGATCCAGTTGCGTCATGTAATGAATATAACATGTTCAAGGGTTAATCTTAGCTGTTTTTTGTAATAATCACAATTCAGAGAAATCCTCCAGTATAGACGAAAATGGGTTTCTACAAAAAGCGTATTTTCCTTTCAATCATCGCCATTAACATGCAATATACATGTTTCTACCACAATACGCTGTGTTATTCCACTCTCAGATCATTGTATAAAAACGCAGACTGTTAGATAAATATGAGTTATATACCACACGTGGTATATGACCTTCAAGAGTTTTGATTGGTCAAGAAGATGAACTTTGACCGGGAAGACTTTTTCCACGTGCTTTTTGCCACCTTTGTGAGGTTATGCGAAAAGGGGAGTTATTAAGGCAATATTAAACGATGATACTTAAATATGTGATCGCTAGTTTCAGGCAAAATTGCTACAGGCGCTCGATATCGTTTCGACGTCACACCGTCGCGTGTACATGTCCAGGTCGTGAAACCAAAACAAGATCTGTCACAGCTAGTGTCGGGAAATATTTCGTTCTCCCAACGTCCCGTTATCGCTATTTAGACGGTCTGACTATGGCTGAACTTTCACTATAAACGTCAACCATAGAACCGTCACGAAGAAACGTAGGCCTATGGTTTTGGATATTGACAGCGATAAGTTGGTCTACAACGGTGAGTTACGGTGAGTTCATCACTTGGCGGGACGCAGACTTCGCACGATATGCTTACGCGCATATAGTCCGTGATTAATTTATATAAATAAATGCAATACTGCTACTCTCAATATTTAAAGTCGTTCATCTAAATTTTTTTCATGAGGTTGTTGCCGAAACAATAATTTTGACAATAATTAAATTTGTAAAACAAAAAATCATTTTTGAATATTAATGAGTGACTTTTTACATATGGGTCATATCACTACGCCAGCCTTGTCAACAAACACATGTGTGTGTGTTATTTCCAATTGATCATGAGATTGTGGTAGAAACAGATCACACGACTCGTGGTTGTTGAGTGTGGTATTTATTTCACTCTCGTTAGTTAATTGTCAAAAGTTACAGAAAAACAATCGCTAAAGCTCGTGTCTTTTGTAACTTTTGAAAATAAACTAACTCAAGTGAAATAAATACCATATTCAACAACCACTCGTTGACTTGTGTAACCTCTATATCTTGAAATCAAGAATTCATTTTTTTCACAGTTGAAATATTTCTTGATGTCCCAAGTTAAGTGATACGTAGTAAAATGTCGCTTTACACTATTTAGCATCTGTCATTATATATTTCACTGATGGCATGGTAAAGCTGATTTGCCTACCTTGCATGGCTCCATGATGAATATACTCTGTAGAATCCCAATGAAAAATGACATCATCCAATCTAAAGTTGTGTCTGGTCCCCATTCCAATGAATACAACATTGTGAAAAATGCTGCAGCGGCAATACTCAACAGAATTAGGCCATAGGCTATAAAAATTACCCACCAAGGTAAGTAATTCTCCTTGCTTTTCAGATACCGATTAGGGCGGCTCATTTCGTTTTTACATTTTCTATACTTAAACATATAAACCACTGCCAAAGAAGGTAATATTGTAATAACAAAGGAACTAAATCCGACATATATCTGTTTGTAATTTAATCTGATTGGTCCTATAGTAACGGATCGACCCTCTTCTCCTGGCGACCGAAAAAACATGGCGGATGTTATCATGGACAGAAACAAAATGGCGGCAAGGAGCCAGAGCCTCTGCACCCGAGTAAACCGACTGAAGCTGGGACGCTTTGGGAGAGAGAACCACAGGTTATCATCGAACATATAGCGCGTGCTAACGTCAACAAAGACGGCGTCCATGTCAACTAGTGCCTCATCAATCATATGTAGAGTCCGGAATGTCAATGCATCGTCCGTATCCAAGGATAGCCATTTACCACATCCGAAAACATACCTGTTCGAAAGGTATATATCCATATAATGTAAGTTGACAATGTTTAGAAATAATGAAGATTTTTAAAAATAATTTTATTTCTATTTTTCTTCAATTTTCAAAACTTTGAAGCATACAAACATGTCAAGAAATGGCGTCAGAGATTACTTCACTATTTCCACATCGTTAAGTTTCTCCGAAACCGTTATTGCTCAAATATTGTATACAAGTTTTACAACTTATCCACACCTTCTTCTTACAAACATGCACAAGATAATATAGATTTACTAGGTTGTTGATGATATACTATTCAATAAAAAAGCACTACAATACTTTTTTTTATTTGAATTATATAAAAAATAAACTTATTTTGTATAATCCTTTTTTTTAATCTTTAAGCTCTTTCTTAGTTTGACAAAACAACCCTGCAACGAAATGTACACAACGTTATCGAAATCATAGTTTCAACAACAACAACCGTTTATCATACCTCTCGTTGTCCATGCCGTCACAGACAATTATTTTACTGAGGAGCCATCTTCGTGACCTCCCAACGTTGTCGTGCCAGATCTGTACGGATTGAAGCGGACCAAGATAATTCTCTGTCGTCATAACAAAGTGTGAAGTCGTTCCGCGCCTAAAATTCTACAAAAAATATAATCACTCGTAAGCGTACATTTTTTTTTGGGCGATAATCCTATTTTAGCCCTTTTTGCTTTTGAAATATTACGCTTAATTATGATTTCACTGGTTCAAGTTTTGTTTATAGCTTTTTTTGCAGATATTGGGGGTGTGCAGATTATCGTTATCTGTTAAGATTCGATAATGCGCTAAAATTTGAGTGGAACGAATATGTATCTGAACAGTACACGTATATATGACGTTACATGTACACCCAACAGGAACCAATGTCCTCGACATTATGAAGGTCATGGTTTATAGTATGGTTAAAAAGAATGTACAGTAATATATCAATAAAACGACCCTTGCTTAGGTTTTCCTCACGCTGAGATCAATCATTTACCAGAATAATCTTTTGCATATTCTGCCTGTGTTATGGTGATCATTCAGTTAAACTAAACTAAATCAAAGTTTATTTAACATGTTCTATCAATTTATATATCATTCGTGTTGATCTGGATGCAAGCACCCAATCAGTGATTAATCATCGTATGCCGACCTTCCAGCAAATGCTTGGTGACAAAGCTAATGATATCCTTCAATTTTTCAATAGCTTTAGGTTTAAAAGGACGACGCGTAAGAAATAAACAAAAGTTTGGTAACTTTCCTTCATACATAGCAATAGTCACTCTACATACAAGCTTTCGGGCTTAGCCCTTCATCATTGAATATTTACATTCTGTATGCTTAGACCCATTGACAAAAATTACATTCATAAATGCATAACACAGGTGTTCATAGAATCTCAGCACGTGGAAACTGATAGTAACCTGATCACACTGCGTAGTAATACACTACAAAAACTACTCACTCGGAACGACCGACCTAGATGCTTAATTCTTACATCTTAAAATAATATTGAACTGTGCTTTGTGAAATATCCACGTATTTACGTGTCCTGTGCTACAAATAAACATTGAATATGGAACTACATTTTGTTGTGTTATTGTTGTTGACGGTTGCTAAGATCTCTCACGATAGTGTCACATTTCCCCGCGAAAAAACACTGTTCTCGCCACTGCGTTGCACCCGTGTATAAGCAGGAACAAACCCTGTTTATTTGTTTAATTCGTTGTTATATCGATCCACTGAAAGGATTCGTCAATGTAAATATAAGGAATGATATTTATTTTTTCAACATTTATGAGGTCATAAATGTTGAAAAAATAAAAATCATTCCTTAATTGAATTGTCCTCACACTTATGTTACATCCATGTATGTATGTACGAACGTGACATAAGGGTGAGGACTATTTAATCCCCGACGTAAGGCTAATTTTGGAACTATGTGATAGACTTTTCCCCCTTTATACTGCAAGGTACATGTACCTACCTGGTTATTGGGTGGTTACATCTTACATACGCCTCTAGTTATCATGGATAATTTCTTCTTTTATCATAGTCTCCTTGTGTCCTGCTGTTGCCTTTCCATGTCGATTTTCGATTATTTCCTTAACTGTTGACATTCGGCTATTCTGTTTTCCTGTTTGATACTAAGAAATTTGTGACTCACCTGACGTCGGCCGTCTAGGAGGATGCGTGGTCCAGACTCTCCAAACTCCCCTATGATGTTGATGTATACTGTTGCTGTCAAATGTTTGGATGACCTCAGTCCGGTCGACACCGCAAAATAATACAGGAAAATCGTCCCAGGTTTATTGTCTATCAAGGGGAGATAATCCCACTGCAATGATCATAGTTTGAACAATGTTGATGAGTAGTAAAATGAGAATAGGCGAAAAAAGAGCCTGTTTGCTCTATTATTTTTTGTGTCCAAACAAACTGAATATATGATGAAATAGCATTAGCATTTCAATTCTGAAGAGAAAACGTAAAAAAATAATAATCATTTTGAACATACCAGTTCTGCATCCTTCCTATCCAGCCGCCGAAGCAGAAGGGAGAGCAACAAGAATAGCAGGAGAACAGCTATTATTGTGACTAGCACGTGCGGTGTGGAAGCCAGCCTCTCTTCAAAGTTTAGGAAAATAGCTTCAAACGCGATGGGGCTTGGAGTTATTAGTAGGGTACTTGCTGAGAAGGAGCCGAAAAAGTTGGACTCAAAATTCACTCGTCCAGTTCGACCTGATTTTATCTAAAAGTAAAGTTAAACAAATAAAACTTAAATGATGAAGAGGAATGTTTTAATAACGCCAGTTTTAATAGTAAGCCTGATTTCTAAAATGATGCTTTAAACGAGACAACATTGCTATAAAGGCATCCACAAACTTAAACTGAAGCCTTCGTAAGGATTACTTAAAAGTTCTATCGGTCAAGTTATACACAACTTAACTGTTGTCCTGCCGCGCGAATCATTTGGTGTCAATTCAAGGATCAAACTAGACTACGTGTCTTATCCTCAAGGTGGCGCGTGCAGAGCCTTCGATTATTCGAAAGGCGCAGAGAAAGTAGCTGATCGTAACCATGGACTTTCTAGGATTGTACCAGAGCTACAGAGAAAGTAGCTTATCGTAATAATGGACTTTCTAGGATTGTACCAGAGCTACAGAGAAAGTAGCTTATCGTAATAATGGAATTTCTAGGATTGTATCAGAGCTACAGAGAAAGTAGCTTATCGTAATAATGGACTTTCTAGGATTGTACTAGAGCTACAGAGAAAGTAGCGTATCGTAATAATGGACTTTCTAGGATTGTACCAGAGCTACAGAGAAAGTAGCTTATCGTTATAATGGACTTTCTAGGATTGTACCAGAGCTACAGAGAATGTAAGTGAGTGTGACCACTGGAATTTTGAAGATTCTTCCAAAAACATAGAAAACGTAAGAATATTTAATATATGAATAATATATGAGATGTTTATTTAATTCAGTACCAGTACTATAGGTTATATAATTACATCCGTTATCCATTCTAACATTTCTATGGGTACGTCTGTGTCGGTAGGGATTGGCCCGACCACTCGGGATATTCAATTATCATATAAATAACCATACGTTACTATTAAAATTAAAATGAGCGTAAATAACTATCATTTACAGATATGGACTTACAAAATTTAACAACAGTGATTAACTCACCACCAGCACTGAACACAAAAGAGAGAGTGGAAGAGAATGAAACAATATGTCCAGGTAGCGAGTAAGATGTAATTTATTACTGTTAGTGAGAAAGATATTTGAATGAGGTATACGAGTTGAGAGTGGATAATAGATGTAAATATTTGAATCACACAGCCTGGGAAAAGTCAATCATAGAACTAAAAAAACATACAAAGCAATAATAAATATAACAAGTATAAATAAGCACGATGATGAAATTGCTCGGTATAAGCACCAACTATTCAGACATGAAAAATAAGAATTGTACATATGTAATATGTAAGCTCATAAGACTCGCACGTCAACTCCTATACTATTTGTTCTGATGAAGCTTCATTTATATATTTAAATGAGATATTGTAAAAGTCACAATGTACTACTGTATCAATAAAGGTTTAGTTACGCTTTATACCACACAACCCTATGATAGGCATATTGAGCAAATACTGAGTTTAAGAAATTTTTTAAAAAAAATGGCATCCGTTAAATCAAGTTTGATTTCAGGAAATATGCTAAAGTTTATACCTTGAGTGCATGGTTTTTTTCCCAGGTCAGCGAAACTGGGTCAAAGTAGCGTAGATCAACACCCACAACCTTCTGTGTCGGTGTCTGAGCTGCATCAGAGAAAACAATATACTGTCAGGTAGATCAGTGTTGTATAGTGTGGTGTCAGGTAGATCAGTGTTGTATAGTGTGGTGTCAGGTAGATCAGGGTTGTCAAAGTAACAATGCTAATATTTTAACCGGGAAATGTTCGCCCTGCGACGGTAAACTACTTTTTCACCCCATATTAAATCGCCCCTTCACATATGATTATTATGTATGATATATTGTTTACAAATGATCGCTGTTTTGATATAGTGTCCCTCGTTGCGGAGGGCGAAAAGGGGGAAACTATACTGCAGGAAAAAATACCGGTATACAGTATATATACAGTGTTGTTTTGGGGATATTGTTGTCTTTGTCGCGGTAATGTCGATTTTTCTCAACGTAAATTACAGAACGTGAATTTGTTTACACGACATGACTTTGCTTCTACTAAATTACTGAACGCGATTTTTTTCATATGGAATTACAGATCGTGACTTTGTTAACATGGCTAAATTATACTTACGCGCATTCCTTTTCACAACGTTTGAGGTGACAGCAACTACAATACGATTATCAAAGTTAGAAAATATGAATGTCTATAAACTGAATTACACAGCATCTTCCATCGTATTGTGATATGAACGTTGCAAGTGAAATCTGGCTTGGTTGCTTACAGTCATGTTTGAAGTTAAGTTATAATATACCTTGTAGTTCGCGAATAAACTAGTTTTGATTTAATGACCTAACATTTTGTCATTGCTTGTGATATAAAAAGATCTGTTTATTTTCGTTGAAACTTTTAATGATAAACTGTCACCGAAAGTTGAAATACGAAGGCAGACTGTTACACCAAACTACATATTTCAACGGTATGCTTTAATTTCAAGAAAACATTTGACTTGTTGCAGTAAGACATCGATCGACTATGTACAACCTTGTATAATAATGTGGAGAGATGCATATTTAAGGATCAAATATTGTCCTATAGATGCATATGGGAGTATGCCTCAATGGATCTTGATAGAATTCTAACACGAAATGACAAATTACTCCCGTGTAATATATATAGAGGACAAGGTCAAGACATATGAAAAATGCATAAAAAATATATATTTCCGTTCCATATGAAAATCTAGGAAATTTAGCGACTTATAATGAAAACTTTCAAATAAAATGTTTTTAATCAAAAACAAAAAAGACAAGTATTGCTTAATGCATTAATATTGCAATACGAAAATCTTTGAGCCACCATAGTATCTGACATGTTGCCAATTTGAAGTGTATAAAGAATAAACATGTATTCCGTCATAATTTGTTTTTGTTTTGTTTGTCAAGTTCTTGTGGGTTAAAGTACAATCAGAATCATAAACTTTTAAATTTCTCAAAATAGTATGACACATTTTTCTAAAAGGGAAACGTTGCTATCGTTTAACGGAAATGTTTTTCGACAAGCGATTTAAAATATATATATATATACTCTTTGCCTTAAGACTATAATTAATATATTTATTTTGCTGTGATATCGTTATGGCGGGTACGTATATGGCGTACGTCGTTATAGCGAACTATTATGTGACGTCATAGTTTATGACGTCAATACTTCAAATAAACAGTCTGAAGAATCTCCTAAAAGATATGCAAGTACTAAAGACTCGTTGTTGAGAATTTTTCTTTATATATATATGGGTCAAAGAAGTAATATAGACGGTAAAATCCCTAAACTTGTCCACACTGCTGGAATTACTTCTTTGCCCCATATATATTAATAGAATCTATCGCTACTGGTTGTGTAAGGTAGAGAAATCTCAACCCGAGGACTAAGATTTTTTGTCCAGAACGAGACTTAGTCCGAGGGTTGAGATTTCTCTATCTTACCCAACCAGTAGCGATTGATTAATTTTCTCCCATATCTAACAGTATTTTAATGTGAAATAAAGGTAAACATGGACCCAAAACACATACAGGCAATTTGTTGATGGATTGTTGACGTGACGTCATTGTATTGTTGAAGTGACGTCATGCCATTGTTATGAATAGGGGTATCCCCCCGTCTCAACCCTAGGGCGGAGACAGATAAATCTAGCACCGGCAAAACGGGAGATAAATCTGTCAGGTGTGGGAGAAATATATATATATATATGGGCCAAAGAAGTAATTCCAACAGTGTTTACTTGTCCACACTGTTGGAATTACTTCTTTACCCCATATAATATTTTAAGTAATTCGTATCCTACGGACATCCATCCATTAGGATACAGTGTTATTTGGGATTTTACCGTCTATATTACTTCTTTGACCAATATATATATATATATATATATATATACATTGTGAGGCTCACCCTGACACTGTGTGAGAAGAACAAGAGTACCGGTGTCTAGTCCACCCTCCACAGACAGAGCTAGGACGCCATCGAGGAAGGAGTGCTGCAGACCAAATGGTCTGTATTTTGTTACTCGGTTTCTGCCTTTGGTTTTTACATAGAAGTCGTATTGAGTGGCCGATGGCTTCTGTCCGTGTTCCCGACCGTAAACAACACACTGTCCTGTTTCTGGAAGCCGCAACAACACGTTAGCAGCGCTTCGCTCAGGGGTGAAGGTTACTACAGTCAAATAAGATCCCTTTTCAGATTGGAGCTCCTGGGCGGGCTGCCATTGTGTAGCCGTTGTCTGTGAATCCTCTGAACCAGACACCGTGTTCTCAGGAATACTCATGGCTATTGGGTCCTCCTGATCGACGTAAGCGACACCTGTTTTGTTGCTATAGAACATTCCAAATGTCACCACGCCTGTGTTGATAGTTACATCAGAACTCCGAGTCTGGTAGGGGTTGTCCTTGTAAATCAGCACCTGGCGAATAAGCAATAGAGATAGTATGAACAGGATAGTGTCCTGGATGAAAAGAAAGATATAAAAGAAGAACGGAATCTAAATATATTCTTTTTGACAGTAGAAAGTAACGACAGTACAAAACACACATATATCATATGTACGTCATCGCGTCTAAATGGAAATAATTAAAGGGCAGAACAAGTATAATGTCACCTTTCTTGAATAATCTGATTAGACTGCAGATATTTTGGACAAATCTACGATTGGTCAATATATTAACCCCATAAAATATGAACTCCAACGTTCTCCAACGAAATGAATTTGCGGACATAGATTTCAATCAATCAGTAACAACTTAAAAAACACCCCAGAAACAGATGATACCCCTGCAATCGTGAAATCATAAGAAAACTAACATTTTATATTTTATAAACGTGCCAAGTTCTAAGGACTAAGATTACCATTGCATATTGAGAAATACACAACACAAACTGGGATTTGTATCACGAAGTGCTCAGCGCACCAGTTAAATCAGCTAAAAAGTTAATGCTAATTACTAAATGAATGACTAAATAAGATGAGTTTTAATTTCCATTATTCCATTACTTTAGATTAGATAGAATAGCTAGATTGCTGAAAACTTACCACTACTTTGACCTTCTCCTGCGCAAGAGTTTTCTGGAGTGTTCCCCACATAGGTAGAGTGACGTCACCGATATCAGTCGACAAGGTCGACGGAAGGTCATCTCCTTTATCACTTTTACCATTGGCGTGTATGTTGGTATGTGACTTATCAAATTCCCCGTCGGTGTCCAATACGTTCTGTATCATAGACAGTGTGCTAGTCTCTGCCTTCGAGAAACTTCCAGACGCCACCTAAATAAAAACAAGGTTCCAAACAATTTATTAATACACGCCTGTTGTTCCAAAAAATGTCCCAAAAGGGTGTGATACAGGTTTTGCGGGCTGATACGGGTTTTTGGGTGTGATACGGCGAGGGCTGATGTGGGTTAGAGCAATTGTGTCGTATCGAATACACAAAAAAAACATATTTATTAGTAAGTATGTAATAAAGATTCATTACAGGGTGTTTACACGTAACGTCATACCATACAGATACATTACATGGTGTTTACACATAACGTCATACAATACATATACATTACAGGGTGTTTACACATAACATCATACCATACAGATACATTATAGGGTGTTTACACATAACGTCATATAATACAGATGTCCCAAAAGGGTGTGATACAGGTTTTGCGCGCTGATACGGGTTTTTGGGTGTGATACGGCGATGGCTGATGTGGGTTAGAGCAATTGTGTCGGATCGAATACACAAAAAAAACATATTTATTAGTGAGTATGTAATAAAGATTCATTACAGGGTGTTTACACGTAACGTCATACCATACAGATACATTACAGGGTGTATACACAAAACGCCATACAATACAGATACATTACAGGGTGGTTACACATAACGCCATACAATACAGATACGTTACAGGGTGTTTACACATAACGGCATACAATACAGATACATTACAGGGTGTATACACATAACGCCATACAATACAGATACGTTACAGGGTGTTTACACATAACGGCATACAATACAGATACATTACAGGGTGTTTACACACAACGTCATACAATACAGATACATTACAGGGCGTTTACACATAACGTCATACAATACAGATAAATTACAGGGTGTTTCCACATAACGTCATACCATACAGATACATTACATGGTGTTTACACATAACGTCATACAATAAAGATACATTACAGGGTGTTTACACATAGCGCCATACAATACAGATACATTACAGGGTGTTTACACATAACGCCATGCAATACAGATACATTACAGGGGGTATACACATAACGCCATACAATACAGATACGTTACAGGGTGTTTACACATAACGGCATACAATACAGATACATTACAGGGTGTTACACATAACGTCATACAATACAGATAAATTACAGGGTGTTTACACATAACGCCATGCAATACAGATACATTACAGGGTGTTTACACATAACGCCATGCAATACAGATACATTACAGGGTGTATACACATAACGCCATACAATACAGATACATTACAGGGTGTTTACACATAACGTCATACAATACAGATACATTACAGGGAGTTTACACATAACGTCATACAATACAGATACATTATGGGGTGATTACACATAACGTCATACAATACAGATACATTACTGGGTGTTTACACATAACGTCATACAAAACAGATAAATTACAGGGTGTTTACACATAACGTCATACAATACAAATACATTACAGGGTGTTTACACATAATGTCATACAATACAGATACATTACAGGGTGATTACACATAACGTCAAATAATACAGATACATTATAGGGTGATTACACATAACGTCATAAAATACAGATACATTACAGGGTGTTTACACATAATGTCATACAATACAGATACATTACAGGGTGATTACACATAACGTCAAATAATACAGATACATTATAGGGTGATTACACATAACGTCATAAAATACAGATACATTACAGGGTGTTTACACATAACGACATACCATACAGATACATTACAGGGTGTTTACACATAACATCATACCATACAGATACATTATAGGGTGTTTACACATAACGTCATATAATACAGATACATTACAGGGTGTTTACACATAACATCATACAATACAGATACATTACAGGGCGTTTACACATAACATCATACCATACAGATACATTAAAGGGTGTTTACACATAACGCCATACAATACAGATACATTATAGGGTGATTACACATAACGTCATATAATACAGATACATTACAGGGGGTTTACACATAACGTCATACAATACAGATACATTATGGGGTGATTACACATAACGTCATACAATACAGATACATTATGGGGTGATTACACATAACGTCATACAATACAGATACATTATGGGGTGATTACACATAACGTCATACAATACAGATACATTATGGGGTGATTACACATAACGTCATACAATACAGATACATTATGGGGTGATTACACATAACGTCATACAATACAGATACATTACTGGGTGTTTACACATAACGTCATACAAAACAGATAAATTACAGGGTGTTTACACATAACGTCATACAATACAAATACATTACAGGGTGTTTACACATAATGTCATACAATACAGATACATTACAGGGTGTTTACACACATAATGTCATACAATACAGATACATTACAGGGTGATTACACATAACGTCAAATAATACAGATACATTATAGGGTGTTCACACATAACGTCATACAATACAGATACATTACAGGGAGTTTACACATAACGCCATGCAATACAGATACATTACAGGGTGTTTACACATAACATCATACAATACAGATACATTACAGGGCGTTTACACATAACATCATACCATACAGATACATTAAAGGGTGTTTACACATAACGCCATACAATACAGATACATTATAGGGTGATTACACATAACGTCATATAATACAGATACATTACAGGGTGTTTACACATAATGTCATACAATACAGATACATTACAGGGTGTTTACACACATAATGTCATACAATACAGATACATTACAGGGTGTTTACACATAACGTCATACAAAACAGATACATTACAGGGTGTTTACACATAACGTCATACAATACATATACATTACAGGGTGTTTACACATAACGTCATACAATACAGATACATTACAGCGTGTTTACACATAACGTCATACAATACAGATACATTACAGGGTGTTTACACATAATGTCATTCTTACAATCTTAATATGGAAATGAAATCCGGCTGCAATTTCAGGTTTAATAGCCACAAAAATTAAATTCATTTAAATAAGGATTTACCATTAAGCAAGGATGACATATCTGATTTAGTGTTGTACAGGTGTATTACACAATTAACCTGGACTTTTTAATATGACAAATTTAACATACATGATAAAATTATAGTGCACGTGTATGCAAAGCATATACTTCTTTGCCCTTTTCAATGTGACAAAGTTAACATACCTTGAACGTTCCTGTACACTTGTGTGAAAAAGTTGACATACCTAAAACGTTCCTGTACAATTATGTGACAAAGTTAACATACTCGTACAACTGTGTGACAAAGTTTACGTACCTTAAACTTTCCCGAACAATTGTGTGACAAAGTTAATATACCTTAAACGTTCCCGTAAAATTGTGTGACAAAGTTAACATACCTTAAACGTTCCCGTACAATTGTGTGACAAACTTAACATACCTTTAACGTTCCCGTACAATTGTGTGAGAAAGTTAACAAACCTTAAACGTTCCCGTACAATTGTGTGACAAAGTTAACATACCTTAAACGTTTCCGTACAATTGTGTGACAAAGTTAACAAAACTTAAACGTTCCCGTACAATTGTATGACAAAGTTAACATACGTTAAACGTTCCCGTACAATTGTGTGACAAAGTTAACATACCTTAAACGTTTCCGTACAATTGTGTGACAAAGTTAACAAACCTTAAACGTTCCCGTACAATTGTGTGACAAACTTAACATACCTTTAACGTTCCCGTACAATTGTGTGACAAAGTTAACATACCTTAAACGTTCCCGAACAATTGTGTGACAAAGTTAACATTCCTTAAACGTTCCCGTACAATTGTGTGACAAAGTTAACATACCTTAAACGATCCCGTACAATTGTGTGACAAAGTTAACATTCCTTAAACGTTCCCGTACAATTGTATGACAAAGTTAACATACGTTAAACGTTCCCGTACAATTGTGTGCCAAAGTTAACATACCTTAAACGTCCCCGAACAATTGTGTGACAAAGTTAACAAAACTTAAACGTTCCCGTACAATTGTGTGCCAAAGTTAACATACCTTAAACGTCCCCGAACAATTGTGTGACAAAGTTAACATAACTTAAACGTTTCCGTACAATTGTGTGCAAAGGTAACAAACCTTAAACGTTCCCGTACAATTGTATGACAAAGTTAACATACGTTAAACGTTCCCGTACAATTGTGTGAGAAAGTTAACAAACCTTAAACGTTCCCGTACAATTGTATGACAAAGTTAACATACGTTAAACGTTCCCGTACAATTGTGTGCCAAAGTTAACATACCTTAAACGTTCCCGTACAATTGTGTGACAAAGGTTACGTACCGTACAGGTTCTTGTACACTTGTTTGAAAATGTTGATACTGTATCTGTCAGTTTTAATATTTCTGAAAGCATAGAAAGTAAGTTGTGTGAGGAAGGCAGATTAAAAGCCAAAATTGACAGCCATCTCCATATTGTCTCATGTCGTTTTTTTAATTCCCCCATGTTTATTTCCTCTTTACTAGAGAACTGCCTAGATTTTTCACGGCATATACACCTGTCTATATATCAAAATAAATCCTCTTATAAGATAAAACAAACTACATAAAATAAAGATACCTGCTTCGTTGATCTTTAATATGCCGAAATGAAAATAAAGTTTCATTATCTGTAAGCCACAATGTTTATAAACTAACCGATAACCGTGTCACATGATCAACACACTCATTTTCAAATAATTAATAACGTATGCCTTTTTTTTAACCTTCTGTAATTTCCTTAATTTGTTGCGGTGAGGCGTTCAGTGAGGTAGCAACTCGGACATTGTTCTCCATAATCTCGGCAACAAGTTCCTGTAATGAAGAGAAAACACATTGTTGATTTACAAAATGTTACTGTCGCAACAAAATATTTCAGCATCATTATCAAAAACAACGGTACACCATTCCAATGATTTAAAAGTGAGTACTTGTCTGGATAAAGGTACCATTCAGCATTTTATAACTGTACAACACAGCGTTTAACAAGTCATTGCTGTCTTTACGAGGGCACACTTCAGTGTCAAAGGTCATAACTGTTTGTACGAGGGCACACTTCAGTGTTCCGAAAGTCATAACTGTTTGTACGAGGGCACACTTCAGTGTTCCGAAAGTCATGACTGATTGGACGAGGGAACGCTACAGTGTTCCACAATTCATATGTGTATGGACGAGGGAACGCTACAGTGTTCCACAATTCATATGTGTATGGACGAGGATACGCTACAGTGTTCCTCAATTCATATCTGTCTGGACGTGGGTATGCTACAGTGATCCTCAATTCATATGTGTATGGACGAGGGAACGCTACAGTGTTCCACAATTCATATGTGTATGGACGAGGGTACGCTACAGTGTTCCTCAATTCATATCTGTCTGGACGAGGGTACGCTACGGTGATCCTCAATTAATATCTGTCTGGACGAGGGTACGCTACAGTGTTCCTCAATTCATATCTGTCTGGACGAGGGTACGCTACAGTGTTTTACAAGGCCGCACTGCCCAGCCGACGGTACACTGCAGTGTTTCATAACAATTTAAAATCTATTTTCCCGTATCTTGGTTTTACTCTATAAGCTTGGTTTTTGGCTCTCATCAGTCGTTTTCAAATATCAGTTTTCGTTTGGTTACGCTTTGAATAAACTTGCTTCAGTGTTAATGTTTGTAGCTTTTTTATATATATATCAATGACCCGAGAACTGCCGTGTATCGGGTATCGGGTGGTCATGTAAGGTTGTGACAGAAGTTGGTGTCTACTTTCAAATTTCGATACTATTGAATAACAGTCCCAATTTTGGCTATATTTTACTGCGAACATTGAGTGACAATGACCCAGCTAACAAACTCTCACATTTGTCAGTAGATATATATATATATATAAAACAAAACACGTAGATTGTAATCCGCTAGCACTTTCGCCCTTCTTGGGGCTCTTCATGTGATTTGAATTTATTTGTGAAATTGCGACGTCTTAAAAAGATTACATGAATGTACTTGCATTAAATGCGTCAATGAAATATTTGGAAAAAGAAACGGAGCATATTACAAATGCTTAAATGAAGACATTGTTCAATAGTAAAAGTTTAAAACATCTTATAGTAAAAATGAATCTCGAAGCCAAATACTTAGTTCATCCGAACATATTAAACATACGGAATTTGTAAACTTATAAGAGGTGCTCGAAATTTCTCGCGTTCAGGCCCTGTTTTAGAATTTTAATAAACAAGTCCTCTTTTAACTCTCTTGCAATAGTATCCCATGCGTTCATTTGATAAATTGGTAAAACTAAAAACTGATCATTTGAATAATGATGAAAATGTTTGTTAACTTATAAATTTCGTAAACTATCAGTTTTGGTTTGTTGACGATGGACAGCCATTCTTTGACGTAGTTCATTTCCAGTTTGACCTATGTAAAATTCAGAGCATCTCTTACAAATTACAGCATATATAACATTTTTTGATTTTCAATTCATATTACATCTCATTTCAAATGTTTTATCATTCTTAAAAACAAACGAGTTACATTCAACAATGATGCTTCATGTTCCATATCTCAGTTTCATACACTTTGTCACGCTGTAATTTACATTTATTTTCTCATCAAATTTAGACTTGCAAAATAAATTTTCGCAATTTCTAGACGTCCGCATTATGTGTACTTTGTTTATGACGTCATTGTTTTTGACGTCTTCAGTATGTGTACTCAATTTATGACGTCACAAATAAATTCAAATCGCCTGAAGAGCCTCAAGATGGGCAAAAGCGCTAGCGGATTATACAGTCGTTACGGCAGTAGCATCCTCGATTTCTAGGGGTTACGATCACCTACGCTCTCTACAGAGAGCGAAAGGAAGCGTAACTCCTGGATATCGAGGATGCGGCAGTAGCGGATCTCTTTGCATAAAATTGCTACACACGATTTTTTCAGAACCCTTTTCATATATTTAGACATTATATAGACATCATATATTTTTAGAAAGTACATTAGGGTTAGGGTTAGGGTTAGGGTTAACCCTAACCCTAACCCTAACCCTAACCCTAACCCTAATTACCTCTCCTAACCCTAATTACCTCTCCAGTGATATCTACGCAACGAAATACGGAAAACAAGGCCTACCGATTTGTCGGCTATAGCGGATCAGTATGGCTATAACAGATCACGTATATGTAGTCATCATGATTTGTTTTATTTACATTTTTACCGTCCCATGGACATTTAAAACCGTTTATCGCTATATATATTTATATATATCTCCAATTCATATAACGTCGATCTTAAGTTGAATTTTAAAACAAAATGCGTCCACTCCACTGAGAGGTTGTTATGTTATTTTGTAAAGAAACTGACGAAAACCTTCTTTGTAGCAACTGAATACTGCAAGAGGTGACAAAAGCACAAGAACAACAATCATGGTCGCTTTGACGTTAAAGCAACATCAGCATTGACTTGATATCGCCATACATATTTGATCCTCTCTGTGCAGACATGGTGCATGGTTGCGTTCAAGCTTAATTTGAAAGCAGTCGTTTGAGCTTGTACCATTTTATTCGATTTATTCATTGATCTTTTATATTATTAAACAGACCAGTTCTATCAATAGATATATGTACATACCATGTAAAGAAACTAACTAAATAATAGCTTTACTTCATTGTTGAAGAGACTAAAGCTTACCAGCTGTGTGGAGATGTCTTTGTCTGAATCCAGCGTGTTCAGCACGTTTAAGGTCGATGCTATAGAAGCGGTCACACCACCCACAGTTGTACTGTCATTGTTGTTCAACGCTACTAGTCCTGGAAACAAAACATAACAGTAATCAATTAATTAGTAGTTTACTAGAAATGAACAATAAATTACCATTTTAGTAAAAACAATGTACTTTTGAATATAGTTCATGTCCATTTGTGTGTACTTTAACGATTCATACGTATGCCTATAACTAATGCGTCCATTGTCCTTTAAACATTTTTTTTTTGGTGTTTTCTTAACATTGATGAACTGCGTTCATGTCAATAACAAAAAATAATTCGGAGACAATTAAATTACACATAAATCCGTCTCCCGAGTAAAATTATGATATCAATATTCACCATATTATCACAAGTGTTACAGCGGTGATGTAGTTCCAGGACAACATAATCAAATCTAGTAAAAATGTATAAGAAAAGAAAGAAAAATTCCTCAATCTAACCTATAAAATACACAGTTGATCATTTCAATAAAGGCTATTTTCTAAATTTTGTAAGTAAGCAATAATTTGTTTATCGTTCTTAATCAGGAACGACTTAACGACAGGAGTAAACTATGTAATATAACGTGAAAAGTATGTTGATGATATGTTTTAATCTCTGAATAATCTAGAAATCAATTATATAAATGTAGTAGTGTCAATATTTGTCATTATTACTTTTAATATATTTGGTATTTACATTATCGCTATACGCGTTCGTATGTAACGGAAATCAGCCTTTCATGTAATTTTGTACGTCACGCATTGCGGCAAAACTTTTAGCGCGCGCGGAAATAGCACGCGTAAATGCGAGTAAGGTACTGAGCGAATGTGATGTAATGTGTTGTAAACCTGTTTGTCCAGTACGTATTGTCTATGTATAGAATTCCTAGTGTTGAATGTACGGTAATTTACCTGGTGCACTGGTCACTTTGAACAGAGCGGCCAGAGCGATCACAGCGAACATCTTGTACTTACACCTATATCTTTACCTAGCCAGCATAGGAACTAAAAGAGGTAGCGGGCACTAGAGCCAACTAGAGTGTCCCCGCCGACACGCTTGACGGGATGGATATCTACCGACCGTAAATGTAGACCGGACTGGAAAATTCACCTGAGTGACATATTCCACCTGATGACGGGATGGATTTCGTCTGTATGTGAATGCAGGATGTATACAAGAGAGGCACGCACGTACGCTCGAACGACTTTCGGACGACCTTGATCAACGAGTGTTTTGTGTATCACGCGACTGCAATGTGCGCAGTTGATTCTATACGTTATTGGACCGGAGAAGAACTGGACCTTTGCTGACCGTACACTGTAAATGACATTTGTGTACCATTGACTTTTCACCCATTTTACTATATATCATTTTCTTTCGTGAAACATGAACTGTTAATGGTGAAACTTGATTTAGCTTATTCATTTCATAATTGTTCTGATATATTTTTGTGATATTTGTCTAATAACTTCGTTCGGTATTGTCTTTTGAAATTCCGGTATTTTTCTTTGCATTTCCGTTTAATATTGTGAACTTCCGGTATTATATTTTGTACTTCCGGTATTTTTCTTTGCATTTCCGGTAAATAATATGAACTTCCGGTAAACAATTTGGTACTTCCGGTATTTTCGTACTTCCGGTACGCTGTCAACTTCCGGTGACATTTTAGAAAAAAAACCAGTATTATTTAATATTTGTTATCAACAAACATTTATATTTGTATTGAGTTATTGTAGTAGAAAGTAATTGAGTGATTTAATTGTATTTTTCAGTTATTCATTTTTTTTGTTCGCTTCAATATATTTCTAGTTTGAATTGATTTTTGATTTCACTCTCATGCTTTATTGATATGTTTTGATTGATTTTTTTTTTCTTTTCTTTAACTTTGATTATCTTGATTGTTTTCATATTGAGCTTTCATTTTTGATTTTGTTTAGTACATATTGACTTTTCTTGGATTTTGTGAATACAAATTGTGTAAAAAAAATTCTCGTGTCTTTAAATTAATTTATACGTGTTTGTCGGAAATATACTTTGCTTCAGAGGAATCACGTGTATTTAATTTGGCTTCGTGTTTTTTTTTGGAATTTATTTCTTTTGAAAATTGTCTGTTTTATTTTTTTACTTAATTTTGGCTTAATTTGTCTTATAGTGTTAAATTTCTGTTGTCATTGATAATTGATAAATTTACCTAGATTTTTGTTTTCATTTTTTCTTCTGTTTCGAAAGTTAACATGTAGGATAACTTAAGTATTTATTCAAATGGATCGATTTATTTTGTGGGTACATACTTGGTCGCAGTTGATGTTGTTCTTTGTTACACGTTCTATGTGGATCTTTCTGTATTTATGTTGAATGAATGATGGTGTGTTAGATGCTATTTGTCGCTAATCGGATTGATATTTTCGTGTGTATTTTGGCTGAACGCGACCGAATATCATTCTTCGTAGGATTTACATAGTTCTATTTCAAGTTTGTTATTCAATTCATTGACGGTAGATGTGGCAGAGCTGGCTGGTTTTATTTGATTTGTAAGTGTATATATCTATGAGAACAAGAGTAAAATACTTGTTCTGTGTCTGGTGAGAACACATAGATGAACTTTGTTGGTTGGCTTGAATATTTTATTTTGTGTTTTGTTGTGTTTATTGTGATACAGGGTTTGTGATGACTGATTCCAAAGAAAAACTATCGCAGGCGGAAGCGATACTTCCACAAGAGGAAGCGGACTCTGTAGAGGATGTGTCTAAGTTGTTTTCTCAAATGGGTGCTAGACCTAAAGGTGATAGCTTAGTTAAGTTAAGGAGTCAGATGATGGATTTTCTTAATTCAACAGGAGGATTGGACACTGCTGATCCATCTATGGTTGGACAAGGGGTAAGTGGAAATGTTGTTTCTCAGAGTATTGGTTCTACCACAGGCACTCTGGACACGAGATTCTACAAGTTACCGTTATTTTCTGGAGATCAAGGAAGGGGTGAGGCTACTTTCGATTTATGGAAATACGAAGTGTGATGTCTGATTGACACAGGTAAGTCGCAGGATGTCATTGGGCAGTCTATCCTAAGATCTCTGAAGGGAACTGCAGCCAGAGTAGTCATGCGGCTAGGAGCTAATGCGACACCCGCACAGTTGATCGCCAAACTTAGAAGTCTGTATGGTATAGTAGATGACCAGGAGGCCCTGTTGGAGAATTTCTATGCCGCACATCAGCAACCCAAGGAAAACGTGACGGGGTGGGCTTGTAGACTGGAAGACTTGTTGCTAAGAGCCGATTCTGGTATAGGACCTGCGGAACGCAATAAGCGGTTGCACAACAAGTTTTGGTCTGGTCTGAGGCAAGACTTAAGAGATGTTACTGGCCACAAGCATGATTACATTGCTGATTATGAAGAACTATTCATAGCAGTCAGATCTATAGAGAGGACAATAGACAACGAGAAACCATCGAAGGCGACTGTTACTGTCAACTCAGCTGTTGAGGGGGAGGAAAAGGAGGATTTGAGGTCTGTGGTCAACCAATTGTCTGCTGCTATTCAGAGGTTAGAGAAGCAGATATCCGATGGCGGGACAACCTCGTGGAAGAACAACAGAGATCACAGGAACAGGAATAGAGGGAACTCTAACAACTGCGGAGGAGGGTCTGTTTACCACTCTAAGCCGTCGCAAGAGAACACTGACCAGGATGACGCGTCTTGGGACAGGAAACCTGATATTATGTTGGAGATGCAGACAGCCGGGACATATCAGAGCGCGATGCAGGGTAAATATGGATCACTCACGCAGTTCGGTATAAGGGAAGGAGTCTATGAAGACGGACCACTCATAGATTTCCGAATTCAAGGTCCGAACAAGAGTACTAAGGCTACTAGGACTGGAACACAAATGGTTGGCAATGCAAATGAAGTTGATGTCAACGTAGAAGGTAAGGGGACCAGGGCGTTACTTGATACTGGTGCGACCGTGTCTACGGTTAGCCAACATTTTTATGAATGTCATCTGAGTCATTTGGACCTGCAGCCTCTTGGTGAAATTCTTTCTATAGAATGTGTTGATGGTCAACAGTTACCTTATTCCGGATTTATCGAAGCGGGAGTCAGTTTTGAAGGACTAGTTGGAAGAGATGAGCAGAGGTGTCTTTTGCTGGTAGTCCCCAACAGCAACTATTACTCCAAGGTACCAGTGTTGTTTGGAACCAACGTTTTGTCGGTATTATTGGAAGGGTGTCGAAACAGGAATGGACCGAAGTTCTTGCAGAAGGGATTGGATACTCCATGGTTTTTAGCATTTCGCTGTATGACATTGAGGGATCGGGATTTAGTGAGAAATCGCAAGAATGCAGGAAACATGGATTGCGTCCTTAGACCGAACTCTACTATCACCCTGAAGGGATATGTAGACCAGCAGAGCGCCTATCCAACTACCTGTGCTATCATACAGCCCACGGAACGATCCAAGCTGTCCAAGGATATTGATGTTACACCTACAGTGTTTTCATATGACTGCGACAGTACACATCCATTTGACATTCAACTATCCAATCTGACAACACATACGTTCATCATTCCTCCCAAGGCAATTTTATGTGAGATACAGCCAGTGATTGTCCAGGAACTTCCGACTGTCGATGAAGAGGTGGGAGTACCGAAGTCATTTATGGATAAAATAGACTTTACCAATTCAGCTGTTACGGAGGAGGAACTACAGCTAGGAACGAAACTCATAAAGGGATACGAGGATATATTTCACACGGAGATACTGACCCTGGGTGTACCAATCTCGTGAAACATCGAATCGATTTGACGGATCCAGTTGCTTTTAAAAAACGCCATAGGAGGATACCACCTTCTATGTATGACGAAGTGAAGACTCATCTTCAGCAACTTTTGTCTGCGGGAGTCATCAAACCATCATACAGTCCCTGGTCATCGAACATGGTTCTGGTGAGGAAGAAAGATGGATCATTGAGGATGTGTGTGGATTTCCGACAGTTAAATCAACGCACCATTCGGGATGCATACGCGTTACCACGATTAGAGGACATCCTGGATTGTTTAGCTGGATCACACTACTTTACTGTGTTAGATTTAAAGTCGGGTTATCATCAGCTTGAGCTTGAGGAAGAACATAAGGAGCGAACTGCATTTATCGTCGGCCCAATGGGGTTTTATGAGTTCACGAGGATGCCTTTTGGACTTATGAACGCTCCTGCGGCGTTTCAGCGCCTGATGGAGAGATGCATGGGAGACATACACTTAACTATTTGCCTGATATGCCTCGATGATTTAATAATCTTTTCACGTACCTATGAGGAGCACCTGGAACGACTAGGAAAGGTTTTTCCGAGACTCAGAGACAACGGTTTGAAGCTTGCGCCTAAGAAATGCCAGTTCTTTATGGACAGAGTTGCCTATGTTGGACACATCGTCACACCGGAAGGCATTAAGGCAGATATGTATAGTAATATGATGTATTTCATGTTACAGGGTGTTTACTTACGTAATAAATTAACTAAGAAAAGAACCCAGGAGTTGTCGTATATCCACGATAAAATACGACTATTACATAAATTGAAGCTATTGTATTTGTTTCATTATAAATTAGATTACCTTAATATATTTGATTTGATTTTTTTCCCGGTAATGTTGCTTTTAAGTAATATGCTATGAAAGAATCGGAGTTTGAAGCATTTCAGAAATATCCTATGATTTTGGCATTATGGAATAATTGAAAAGTACACAAACACAAGTCTCGTTTCTGCAGAAAAGTATTTTAAAATGATGGTTTGTTTCATACTAATGTCTATAACAAATTATATGGGTCGACAAGCATTGTTCGTTTTTGTATAGTAGAAATCAAACATTAAACAATAAGCTATATAATGATCAGCTATTCAGTGTTAGCCCTCCATTGAATTGTTAATCCAAGTCTGTGAGCTAGACTGCTTTCGAAAGGAGTAAATGATATGGTTATGGGGAGAGAACAGGTCACCGACGGCTAATAGGGCTTTGAGAGTTTGCAGGTAATAACAAAAAGCAAACATTTAACAGATAGGAATAATGATACAAAATAAACAACTGCTCTGCAATTAAGTAAACCACATTGTGATATGCTGTAGTACTCACTTTCATCAACTTGTGGTTTTGCCGTTGTGACAACTGCTGGTGCTTTTGTTGACGGTGGGGTCGTTGTTGTTGTCTGCTGTTTAATGGTGGTGGTTGTTGGTTCCTCTGTTGTTGTTTGTTGTTCAGTAGTCGTGGTGGTTGTTGGTGCCTCTGTTGTTTGTTGTTCAGTAGTCGTGGTGGTTGTTGGTTCCTCTGTTGTTTGTTGTTCAGTAGTCGTGGTGGTTGTTGGTTCCTCTGTTGTTTGTTGTTCAGTAGTCGTGGTGGTTGTTGGTTCCTCTGTTGTTTGTTGTTCAGTAGTCGTGGTGGTTGTTGGTTCCTCTGTTGTTTGTTGTTCAGTGGTTGTTGTTTGCTGTTCAGTCGAAGTAACTACAATAATAAGCATTTTATATAAGATTCAAGAAATCCTAATATACTTATATATAAAAGTGATATACTTTCTGGGGAACATGGTTATATATAACATACCACAGTGTTTGTCATTTTGTCCCTAGTGGACGTTTTTGAGTAGGTTTCTCGGAAAAACGAAGGAGACAAATTCTGTATTCTATGTAAGTTTAATATATCAATGGCAATGCGTTTTATTTTATAAACACAACATAATGCGATATTTGTAATAATATATCGGGTATATAGTAAATAAGCAATATATCTTAACCAACATAAATTATGTATATATAAGATATCCTACATTTTAGAAGATTTCTTATGAAAAATCTTATGAAAAACAGGATTTACATAATTCCATAACGGCCACAGTGGCCTGTTATTTACCTGACAACACGTTCACAACCAGACTTTGGTTAGCTGAGGCTGCAGCGTTTACCCCCTGACAGGTGAGGGTGCCACTATACCAGTACGCAATGTCGAGTATCGTTAAGGATGGATTGGAGGGGGTTGATCCTGTGACTATGCTACCGTCTACATTGACCCGTACTCCGTTTAGGTACCACGTGACATTATGAAGGCTTGGGGACGAAACAATGTTACAGATGAACGTAACATTGTCTCCCTCTGTGGGCGTGTAGGACGTCCGTGGCAGTGTGATGTTTGGAGGACCTGTACAAAAGTAAGTTGTGGTTTTCGACATTTCCCTACCTTGCTATATTTTTTACACTGAACGAACTGATACCAACCACTTCACGTGTTTAATCTACTACCGAACTGTTACCCTCCATTTCCCTAACTTGCTATATTTCTTACACTTAACGAACTGATACCAACCAGTTAACGTGTTTAATCTTCTACCGAACTGTTACCCTCCATTTCCCTAACTTGCTATATTTTTTACACTTAACGAACTGAACATGATTATCTTCTTATGCTCTATTTATATCATCATAAACCGAATTTTTCTGTTGTAGGTTTACGCCCGTTTTACAACTGTTGCCCACTGATTATTTTTTTTACCTGATGTGACGTTGACTACGGTTCACTATTGTACTTTACAACTGTTGCCCCCTGTTTATTTATTTAACTGATGTAACGTTGACTACGGTTCACTATTGTACTTTACAATTGTTGCCCACTGTTTATTTATTTACCTGATGTAACGTTGACTACGGTTCACTATTGTACCTTACAACTGTTGCTCACTGTTTATTTATTTACCTGATGTAACGTTGACTACGCTGACTATTATACTTTTCAACACGGATCCGTAGCTGTTGGTTGCCTCGCAGGTATAATTACCGCCTTCGTTATGGGGGATAGACTTTATAAATAAGCTTGGCGATACGTTAGTACCCCCAAAGTATTTACTATCGTCTATAAAAACAATACTCCCGTATCGCTTCCATTGTATGGCATTTAGCTTCGGGTTTGAAACCACCGTACAGCCTAACGTTACATTAGCTCCAGTATTTACTGTGTATGATGACTGTGCTATTGTCACTATCGGAAGACCTACAACAGAGGACAAGGAAAACATTATATCACATAAAACATACAATAATGTTACAAAGAAATTGATAAAGTCATGTTAACACCATAACAGAACAATGACAAATGTTTAAATATGTTTCTGTTTCAATAAACAAAAGGCGCACAGGCCATTCATCGCTCATCGGCGATTAAAGCTGTCGCAGTAAATGCAATACATTATCATTCAAATAACACTACAAAACTGTCTCCCAGAGCGGGGTCTCATCCTATGCTTATCTTAGTAACCTCATTGTTCTGGTTTTATGATACCCCGCAAACACAAAAATGATTTTAGTTTATTGATATAAACCGTTTCCAAGCTATGATCAAAGGATTCAGCTCCCACGTGTTTTCGTTATTGTATTCATAGAAATTGTAAATACACTTAAAGGGTTTCCATCAATTTGTTTACTTTGATAGAATGAATAACTGTGAATTAATAAGATATTCGAAAAAATGGCTTTGGTAAATTTTTCTCCAACAATTTTTTCACTGTTATCATGAATGCCACATTTATTTGCGAACATGTTTTGACTGCCTTAATTTCTAAGTCGTACACTTGGAATCCTACACGTGGTATTTCATTTACCGCAATAGACCTTACATGTGCCATACTCTTTTAAAAAATCTTAGAAATGCACGCAGGAGAGCTGTCTGTGACTGTTCTTGGAAGAGTTGTGGATAAGATAAAAGGAGTATAACTTCCAGAGTAACCAGATTATCTGGCCTCTGTCAAGAAATCATATCCTCATCCACGAACATATAGAATGTATTTTCAACACCACCAAACATAACACACATGAAAAAGCCACTGGATGAGAGAAAGTGGTTTAAATCTTTTCGAGTTTACCTTGCTGATTTTTACTCGTTCATAAATATTACACTAAATAGGAAGTGGATAGTGTTTATCGGTACTGCGTTTGTCAGTGGATAGTGTTTATCGGTACTACGTTTGTCAGTGGATAGTGTTTATCAGTACTTCGTTTGTCAGTGTATAGTGTTTATCGGTTCTACGTTTGTCAGTGTATAGTGTTGATCGGTACTACGTTTGTCATTGGATAGTGTTTATCAGTACTTCGTTTGTCAGTGGATAGTGGTTATCGGTACTACATTTGTCAGTTTGTCAGTGGATAGGGGTTATCGGTACTACGTTTGTCAGTTGATAGTGTTTATCGGTGCTACGTTTGTCAGTGTATAGTGTTGATCGGTACTACGTTTGTCAATGGATAGAGTTTATCGGTACTACTTTTGTCAGTGGAAAGTGTTGATCGGTACTACGTTTGTCAGTTGATAGTGTTTATCGGTACTACATTTGTCAGTTTGTCAGTGGATAGTGGTTATCGGTACTACGTTTTGCAGTGGATAGTGTTTGTCGGTACTACTTTTGTCAGTGGAGAGTGTTTATCGGTATTACGTTTTTCAGTGGATAGTGTTGATCGGTACTACGTTTGCCAGTCGAAAGTGTTTATCGGTTCTACATTTGTCAGTGGAAAGTGTTGATCGGTACTACGTTTGTCATTGGATAATGTTTATCGGTAATACGTTTGTCAGTGGATAGGGTTTATCGGTACTACATTTGTCAGTGGAAAGAGTTTATCAGTACTACGTTTGTCAATATCCTCATCCACGAACATATAGAATGTATTTTCAACCCCACCAAACATAACACACATGAAAAAGGCACTGGATGTGTGAAAGTGGTTTAAATCTTTTCGAGATTACCTTGCTGATTTTTACTCGTTCATAAATATTACACTAAATAGGAAGTGGATCGTGTTTATCGGTACTCCGTTTGTCAGTGGAAAGTGTTTATCAGTACTACGTTTGTCATTGGATAGTGTTTATCAGTACTTCGTTTGTCAGTGTATAGTGTTGATCGGTTATACGTTTGTCAGTGGTAAGACTACGGTTCACTAATAAACTTTTCAACTGTTGCCCACTATTTAGTATTTTACCTGATGTCTCACGTTGACTTCGGTTCACTATTGTTCTTTACAACTGTTGCGCACTGTTTAGTTTTTTTCCTGATGTAACGTTGACTACGATTCACTCATGTACTTTACAATTGTTGCCCACTATTTAGTATTTTACCTGATGTCTCACGTTGACTACGGTTCACTATTGTTCTTTACAACTGTTGCCCACTGATTATTTTTTTCACATGATGTAACGTTGACTATGGTTCACTAATGTACTTAACATCTGTAGCCCATTGTTTAGTTTTTTACCTGATGTAACGTTGACCACGCTTCACTATTGTACTTTACAACTGTTGCCCACTGTTTAGTTTTTTACCTGATGTAACGTTGACTACGATTCACTATTGTACTTTACAACTGTTTCCCACTGTATAGTATTTTTACCTGATGTCACGTTGACTATTGCACTTGATAACTGTTGCCATGTGTTTAATTTTTCACATGTTGTAACGTTGACTACGGTTCACTATTGTACTTTACAACTGTTGCCCACTGTTTAGTTTTTTTACCTGATGTCACGTTGACTACGGTTCACTATTGTTCTTTACAACTGTTGCCCACTGATTATTTTTTTTACCTGATGTCACGTTGACTACGGTTCACAATTGTACTTTACAACTGTTGCCCACTGTTTAGTTTTTTTACCTGATGTCACTTTGACTACGGTTCACTATTGTTCTTTACAACTGTTGCCCACTGATTATTTTTTTTACCTGATGTCACGTTGACTACGGTTCACAATTGTACTTTAAAACTGTTGCCCACTATTTAGTTTTTTACCTTATGTAACGTTGACCAATGTTCACTATTGTACTTTACAACTGTTGCCCACTGTTTAGTTTGTTACCTGATGTAACGTTGACTACGGTTCACTCATGTACTTTACAATTGTTGCCCACTATTTAGTATTTTACCTGATGTAACGTAGACTACGATTCACTATTGTACTTTACAACTGTTGCCCACTGTATAGTTTCTTTACCTGATGTAACGTTGACAACGATTCACTATGGTACTTTACAACTGTTGCCCACTGTTTAGTATTTTACCTGATGTCACATTGACTACGGACTATTGTACTTTACAACTGTTGCCCACTGTATAGTTTCTTTACCTGATGTAACGTTGACAACGATTCACTATGGTACTTTACAACTGTTGCCCACTGTTTAGTATTTTACCTGATGTCACATTGACTACGGACTATTGTACTTTACAACTGTTGCCCACTGTTTAGTTTTTTACCTGATGTAACGTTGACTACGGTTCACTAATAAACTTTTCAACTGTTGCCCACTGTTTAGTTTGTTACCTGATGTAACGTTGACAACGGTTCACTATTGTACTTTACAACTGTTGCCCACTGTTTAGTATTTTACCTGATGTCACGTTGACTACGGACTATTGTACTTTACAACTGTTGCCCACTGTATAGTTTCTTTACCTGATGTAACGTTGACAACGATTCACTATTGTACTTTACAACTGTTGCCCACTGTTTAGTATTTTACCTGATGTCACGTTGATTACGGTTCACTATTGTACTTTACAACTGTTGCCCACTGTATAGTATTTTTACCTGATGTCACGTTGACTACGGTTCACTAATGTCCTTAACAACTGTATAGTTTTTTGTACCTTTTCAATTCAATTCAATTCATTTATTAACTTTCGGCCTTACGGCCCATCAGTACAAACATATCAATACCATGCATAATATACACAATAACACGGCTCACCATACTCAGTGAGAGAGTGGAGTAAATAAATTAGATTCTTATCTTATTAGCTTCAAAAATATATTTACCAAGTTGACATAATTCCTTAGTATTGTTAACACACAATAATTGTATAAATTTAAACATGGATGGCTTTTTCCAATAGTACTTTTTAATAAGGCGACTTCTTAAGTTTTGGTAGGTTTAACATATCAGAATAAAATGGTATTCATCTTCGACTTCTGTAGCCGAATTACAGTTCGTACAATATCTCTGTTCTCGAATAACGTTGCGATATCTACCGGTCTCGATTGCTAATGAATGTGCAGACATTCGTAACTTTGTTAGACTAATTCTATAATTCTTAGGAATATACTTGGTTAAATAATACTGAATGGAAAAGTGGTCTACGATACACTTGTATAAAAACACTTAGAGGAAGTCTCTAATAAACCTCTTAAATGTTGTTGACCTTGGTCAAAAATTCTTTGACAAATAAACGGTAAAATTAATTTAAAATTAGTCGATGATTGGCTTAACCATACATCACCAAAGCCCAAAGCAAATAATTCATTTTTTACATGGTGTACCCAGTTAAAGCAAGTACATGTAATCTGTTTTGATAAAAAAGAATATGCACAGTTCAGAATACAATTTTTCGAGTCGAGTAACTTAAACCAATACTTAATGATTCTGTATTTTCTGATACATTCTAAAGGCAGGCGACCAAGTTCGAAATATACCATTGCATTACATGTGGATTTTGTAACTTTGAGGAGTCTCTTACAGATATTCAAGTGCACATTCTCAATGTCTATTCCTTTTATGGATCCCCATACTTCACATGCGTAACTTAATATGCTAATAACATAGGTATCAAACAAATGTAACATGGTCTTAAAATTAAGACTAAGATTGGAGCATTTTGATAATAAAGCAAACATAGCTTTACGACCTTGGTCAGCTAATTGTTTCTGAATACTATTGAACCTATTGTTAAACTTAAATTGCACACCTAGGTATGTAAATTGATAAACACAACTAACCGTTTTGCCATTATATTATTTCGAACTTTCCCGCCTTTTCGAAAAACCACAACTTTTGTCTTATCAATATTGACAGTTAATTTCCATTTCTCAGAATAACTAGCGAGATTATCCAACAGTTCCTGTAAACCCTCAACCGTCTCCGATAACAACACTAAATCGTTTGCGTATAGCATAAGAAATAAGCTTAATTTTCCAAAGGTATAATAGCTACTACAATTCGAGATAAAAAACGATTC